GGATTGGTCACACAGTTCTCTCAATATTCTTTCATTCTTAGAGATTCTTTATTTGCTCTGTGCCTCAGCTTTTTTGTATTCCACAGAGGTTATTTTAAATGGTTGGCTTCTCTAGTAGACTCTGCTAATGCTTCTTTCAGTGTGTCAGTCATCTTCCCATCATTTATCAAAGGGCCAGGCCTGCTGTAAGGAGTAGTTACTGTTAATTGAACTGACCTCATTTGAATGACACAGTGGCAAATCTCATATTACCTGAACACTCATTTTCTTGGTAATTTTGGCAAAAGTTCCAACAAAGCACTGTCAAATAAGCTATGGTTACCAACTATTCAAACTACTAACAAATCACTGGTGATCTCAAGCTCATTATTGGGAGAAGGTGACATGAGAAAGAGTTTATTGATATACTCCTGTTTATTTCATTGAAATATTTCTTGTATAAAAGCCATGGATCCCTAGAGATTCTGAGGCCTTTTGACATGTTTGAAAGCATGTTCAATGAAAACACAAGACTAGGAACATGCATAGAGTAGAATAGGAGTCACTCGGCTAATGCTCATCCGATTATTTTCTAAAGATGCACCGTCATCCTTCCAACTTTCAAAATGTTCAAATAATTCTGACCCAATCAAGTTTGGAGCTCTTAATAGAAAAGATTCCCCCTTTACCTTTCTGATAGAATAAAATTATAACTGCCTTATATATATGTCACCCCTTAATCTGAGGCCTTAAATTCTTTAATGTCTGCCATTATACCTGTAGCTTAAAATTTTTATAATTATGACTTTTACAGAAAGTCATTTTTCTGAGATATATAATGAAAAATGTCCCAATGTCCAAGTATACTACACAGAGTGAATTCATCCCATTACTCCTTCTGTTATAGAAGCCTGACCCCTGAACTGAGTATCTTCTTCATTTTCTTGTGTCTTGTGTGTTTGTTGAGCTTCCTGAGTCTATGGATTCATCATTTCTCATTAAATTTGGAAAACATCTAGCCATTTCTCTTCAAATTTTTTCTGTCTGCCTCCTTCCTTTGGAGACTCCAGTTTTACAAATATGTTAGTCCACTTGAAGTTGTCCCATAGTTTCATGATGCTTTGTTCATTTAAAAAATTCTCAATTCTCTAGGTGTCTCATTTTGGATCATTTCTCTTGCTATGCTTTCAAGTTCATTAATCTTTTCTTCTGTGATATCACCTTGCCATTAATCCCAGGCAGTACATTTTTCATATCACAAATGGTAGTTTTCTTCTCTAGTAGTTCAATGTGAGTCTTTTTAAAAAAAAAACAAGATCCCATGTCTCTGGTAACTTTTTGAACATATGAACTATAAAACAGTTCTTTATCCTTGTCTGCTAATTCTAATATCTGTATTAGTTCTGGGTCTGTTTTAACTGACATTTCTCCTCCTCCTTATATGTTATATTTTTTTCCCTTTTTGCATGACTCACAATTTTTTATTGGAAACCAGGTTTTTTATTGTGAAATTTACTTTGTTGGGTGCTGGACATTTTTCTGTTCATTTAGATATTCTTGAGTTTTGCTCTGCAGTTAGGTTACTTGGAAACAGTTTTGTCTTCCATGTCTTCCTGCTGAGATATGTTAGGTGGGCTTGGAGCAGGGCTCAGTCTAGGGCCCCTTATTTCCTTAATTACTCCCCACTTCTGAAGACCCTTCTGTGAACTCTACCCAAGCACAAGGTTTTCACCTCACTGTTAGGAACAGGCTCTATTCCCAACTTCATGTGAATGCAATTACTGCTCCCTTGAATCCTTTAAGTTGGTTCTTTCTTCAGCTTTGAGTAATTTCCTCACAAGCAAGCACTGACCAGCACTCAAGGGGACCCCCTGCAGATCTCCAGAGCTCTCTCTGAGGCTTTCTCTTCCTCAGGACTGTCCTGCAAACTCTAGCTGCCTTGTTTTCCCTAGACTCTTAACTCCATGTCTTTAACTCAGAGAGTCCATTGTGCTCTGCCTGGGTCTCCTCTCCTTGGTCTGTGACCAAGATACTCTCCCAAAGCAGTACATTGGGGCATCTGGGAGGCTCCCCTCAGATATTACTCTGGGATCACTGGTAACTTAGTTACCTAATATACAGTGTCTTGCAAACTGTTGTTTCATGTACTTTTTGTCCATGTTTTGATTGTGGGTGTGTAAATATGGTCTCTATTACTCCATCATGTTTGGAACTCTCATTTCTTTAGTATTCTTGAATCTATTTTTGTGTATGGATTGAAGTGAGTACCTATTTTGATATTTTTCCTCTACCTAAAGAACTTACCCCCAACATCAATTAGTGAATATTTTCTTCCCTGATTGTTTTTGATATTTACCTTATACTATATTAAATACTTGCATATATTGGGGTCTGATTTCTGTATTAGCTCTTTGGTACTGGGGATCTATTTGTCTGCTTTTGCCCTGGAGCTATACTCTTCTACCTGAAGCTGCTTTGTCATATATTTTTAATATCTGGTAATGCTAATCTCCCCTATTATATTTTTACCTTAAGTGTCCCTCAGAGAATTTTTAAAAGTACTTTGTCATTCTTTTATATCCATTTGAGAAGCATTTTGTCTAATTTAAAAAGCCACTCTGGGATTTTTTAAAAGACTGAATTAAATATGTAAAATAACTTGGGAATGACACACAGACCTTTTATATATTTGTCTCCCTATCTAGGAGCATAATGTAGCTGTCAATCTTTTCCACTCATTTAAATCTTTTAATTTCCTGTAAGGTTTTCTTAGTTTCTTCACAAAGATCTTATAAATTTATTTTTCTCTCAAGTACTCTGTGTGTGTGCTTTGCTATTAGAAATTAATCTTTATTTTGTCAGTTTGTTTTCCTACAATTACAGATAAAATGTTGCTGACACCACATGTATGTATGTGTGTCTTTGTGTATATACTGGCAGCTGTCTAGTTTCCTATACTCTATACTATATCCTTTGTTTTTAGAACTGAATACTTGGCTTTTCTAAGTATATAATCATGTCACTAGGAAATAATGGTATTTTTGTCTCTTTATTTACAAATACTCAACCCACATGAAACTAAGCTGACTTACTACGCTTTGAAACTAGCTACAGCATAGAGTTACATACTATAGAAATATATTAGTCTGTCTCTCAAATAGAACTGAAAATAAGTTGAATTCTTTTAAGAATACCAAAGAGAGAATACAAATGTAGCACAAAGCAAAAATTTTTATCTTTCCACTTAACTTCCTATCAATCTAATATCACCAGTCACAGGGAGCTGCTTTTTTCTCCAATTTATCCCCCAAACTCCTCTCTTTCTAACCCAAGTTCTTCAAATCCAGCTCATACAGAGTCAAGTCCTCTACCACCCACCCCCTGCCCCCAAACTTTCCTGGATTTTCTGATAACTCTTTGCCATAAGAGGCATACTTTGGAAATATTGAGGGTTTAGTTCCAGGCCACTAAAATAAAGCAAGTCAAATATTTTTTTTTTGGTTTCCCAGCACCTATAAAAGTTTTGTTTACAATATACTGTAGTCTAAGTGTCCAATAACATTATGATTGATACACCAATGTACATACCTTAGTAAAATATATTTTATTGCTAAAAAAATGCTAAGCATTATCTGGCTTTCAATGAGTCCTAATCACTGATCTAAGTTATGAGAATAATGAAAAAGTTTGAAATACTGGAAGAACAGCCAGTGTGACACAAAGACACAAAGTGAGCAGCAGATGCTGTTGAAAAATGGTGCTCATAGACTTTCTTGACGTACAGTTGCCACAAACGTTCACTTTGTAAAAAACACAGTATCTACAGAGGACAATAAAGTGAAACATGATAACAGGAGGTGTGCTCATATATTTCTATTAATTTTGCCTTGCTGTCCTTCACAGTTCTCTACTTTACTTACATCAACACAAAAATCTCCCCAGTGGCAAATATTCAATGGAAATTCATTTGGAATAAGGAGGGGGAGGTGGAGAAAGGAATTCATGTGTGGGTGCACATACAATTTAGTGTATTTATTAAACAGATGACTTTAAATGATTCTCATTAGCTAAGAAAATTAAACATTTTAAAGTGCCACGGTTCTCTAAATAATGCTTAAAACATTATTTTCATTGCATTCCATAACATATGAGAGATTTAATGAACCAATTTTTATATATATAATTGTTCATAATTTTCAAATTTAAAACCTTTGACAACTGCTGCTCCACATCAGGTACCTAGGGTTACTGCTGCATGAGCTCAAGATCAGGAAAAAACCTTTGGTGCCACCTGCTGGTTCTTAAAGATATACCAGGCACTTGCTGTGGTTGATTTCCAAACCATCTTTTTCAACCCCAAGATCCCTACCAAAGCATTTCAAACTAACCAGAAAAATAATTGTAATTCTTGGTGACAAGACCACAAATGCTCTAATTCATAATAATGTAAATGACTTTGTTTGAGACACAATATGAAGAAACAAAGACTTCATTTCTCTGTCATTGAACTGGTCATGTTTTTGTTGACACTTGACTAAAATGTAGCTTTTACATGCTGAATAAACATTGCTAATTACATACATCTTATTTCCTTTCTCCTCAGTAGATACATTGTCAAGTAGGTAGTATCCCAAGTCATTTACTTTGATTATAGTTAGAATAATTCTAAATTACTCTTCTAATAGCACTTACTCACCTGTATTCTTATATACATTTCTTGAACATGAAATACAGATAGATACATTTACATTCATTAATTACATTGTTCAGCTAATAAATATCTATTGTCAACCATGTCCCAGGCACTTTACTTCATAGCAAGGATTCAGCAGTAAACACCATAATGCCATCTTCAACATCCCCCTCCCTGAACCAGAGAAAGGCCTGCACCCTGCATATCACAAAAACATAAAAAATAAATTTGTTTAAACAATGTGGAAGCCTATCTGTCAAAATCTGTTATGAGGCACTGCTGTCACATAACCTATAACCCTGAAATCCAGTCTCTGACTTACTTGATTAAGCTTCAAAGGAACAGGGCTCTTTTTTCTTTCTGTTTGAAAACTCTGAAGGTTTATGGATTGTATTGCCTCTGGACATTGCTTCAGAGTGCAAGCAGTGTTTCAGTGCTTGGGTAAAAGAAAAGACAAATTGACCAACTTGTCACACTCTTTCTTTCAGACTGCATGAACATAATAGATTTTTGTAAAAAGAAATATTATTTCCAAGTAGTTCAAACATGTAATTTCCTGTTTCCTTTAGTTTTTGAATTTATGGTTCTGGATGTACTCATGAATTAGTGTAGTATTCTTAATAACTGGATGTGGTAGCTGAGGATTGTTTAACAACATTAAGCAATTCACGTGCCTCTTAAATTTGAAAATAGGTAGATATGAATGTAACATACAGGGTGATGTCAATTCTTTACACTGGTGACTAGATAGACATTGAATGATAAACTCATGAATAATGTATTTTTTATGAAAATATTTAATAAGGTAATAATATTTACCAAACTTTATCTTTATTTAATTTTATTTGCAATTTTCTCTTTAATTATATTTTCACTTAGAAGAAAGATAACTTTTGAAAGTAAGTGAAAAATAAATATAGTTTTCACTTAATTCATATTTTTATGAAAGTATATTCAAATTTTGTATACTTTGAATTCAATTTTATTTTTTAATCTTCTTTTGCCAGTAGAACACAATTCATGAAAATCTGGATTAAACAAAATTAATTTTTATGGGTTAAATATATAGGAAATGTATTAGATCTGTATGTCTTTATTACTTATTCAAACTTATTAGCCAATCAACATTGTGACCAGACAGGTACAATAATAATTAAATGTTGTCATCTTTTATATATTACTTTCTTTCAGCCATATAAAAACATTTTTTATTTTGTCATTATAAATGTGTACTCGTCAGAGACAGAGGTTATAACATACCTTAGTTAACAATGTTTTAGGTTGATTTATGACTTATAAATATTTAGACAGACAGTAGGTAAGCCTCCATTTGCACTCTTGCTCCCAGGCTTTACAAATCTTCACAGAGCTTCATGTCAGCCTGTATGACGACAATAACCTAGTGAGGAGATAAAAGAAATAAATAGGTAAACAAACCAGATCATTTAAGATAGTAATAAGTACTGTAAAGAAAACATGTGTCAGGCAGATAAATAGATATGAGCAGGTGGAGTGAGAGTAAGGCCAGTAAAGCCCACTAAATGCAACTCAAAGAGTTAGCCAGATAAAACCAGAAAGCCAGAACAGACTCAGAGTTAACACCCTTTGCAATATGAGTTCATTCCACATACCCTGAATCTGGGCTGACCTTGAGACTTGCCCTAGCTAATAGATGTGAGATGAGCAGAGACATGAGACAAGCATTATGATTAATTTTCCTAAAAATGCCGAGATGGGAATAGCATAGTGGGAACAGGAGGGACTTATCTTGAGGCTAAGATTTCATTTTAAAAACAGAGAGTTGAGAAGTTAGATTCCTAACATATTCTTTGATAATCAGCCAATGACTTATCTTAAGGTAAGGCAAGCAGTCTTAACTGATTCCCAGTGCTTGGGAGTAGCCACTTTCTAGGAGAGGAACAAAAAGTTTATTCTACAGAGTTACCAAGAGGACTAGCTATAGACAATAACGTATTATCTGTCACTAGAGATAGACATCATGGGTCCCACCTGACAAGGCTGTGCCCCCAACCCTTTACCTTTATCCCATTCTTGAAAGCCTTAAAAGACAGAATTCTAAGCCTTTAAGTGCACCTCATTTCTGAGGTTGCCCGCACTTGCCTTTCTTCAACTGTGTCACTCTCTCTGTCCTACTTCAGAAAAGTAGGGAGGGACTGCTGAGAGCTCTGGTTTGGGCTTGCAAGTTCCCATCTCCTGGGTGACCCAGACAGAACTGCAGCTATACAAACATGCTCCTTAATAGCCTGCCTGAAAATCTCCTTTCTTTGCTTTGGGAAGTTCTCAGAACATAATCTCCCTCCATCCAGTGCTCTACAGCTCCCCCAAACCCTGGGGTGGTAGCAACTTAATTCCCATGCTGTGCAAATTCAAGCAGACACTAGATGCCAGGTGACACTGGCTTTAGGAGTTGGCAGGGGATGTGCCCTATGCTGAGAAGCAGTTCAATAAGCTTCCCCTTCCTCTCTTCTTTATTCCTGTAAACCTGTCTTTGCCTGCCTTGACTCTGGCCTGCTCCCCTGTTGGAGTGTATTCAAATAAAACCTTAACTCTGCTTCTCTGCTGTGTCTCTGCGCTTCAATTCTTTGTTGTGGTAGGGACAAGAACAGAGAACAAACTCAACCCCCCAACATAAGCCCTGTATATTTGATGGACAGAAAGAAGTTCTGCTGCAATTAGAGTAGACTAAATGTCATGATCATCCTTTCTGGGATGACCTCCATCTTTTTTCCCAAAATTTCTCTTTCAGGTCTCAGCTTAAATGTTCCCTCTTGAGATTCTTTCTCCAGACCCTGAAACTCATCATGGCTTCTCTCCATCACCTCATCTAATGGATTTGTAATATTGTCACTACATTCATTGCCTGATGGTTTTCTGGTTTATATATTTGTTTATTGCTTGTCTCTTACTGGTGGAATGCTAAGTTCCACAAGTAAAGCCCTCAGCTATCTTACTCACCACCATATGCCTAGCCTGGTATAAAATACACTTGCAATTAATCAAGGTATCAGTACTCTGGATTAAAAGGGGTGGGGTGAGGGCAGGAGAATGTCCTTTAAGAAAAAACTCATTCATTCAAATCATTCTTACAAATTTGCTTTTTTTGAGGTAGAGTCTTTACCATGAGCAATGATTGAAATGAGGAGCAGAATTCATCACTCTATCATAGACATTGCTCATCAGATGAAAGAATGTATGGTTATGCCCTATCTGAAAACAGTGTTCCTCCCTGCATCAAGAAGTATGTATCAGTTATTGATAAAATTACAGATTTAATGAAGATAAAATAGCAAAGCCATGAAAAGGATTATGAGATAAGAGAATTGCAATACTATATAAATATGGTAATTTAAATTCAAACAACTGAGAAAGTTCAGTTTCCTCTAATCCTCTACTGAATAATCAACCTGGACAGGCATATAATCCAAAAACGAGGAAGTGATAATCAGAAAACACTCAGGAGTATATAAGAAGAATTCTTTTAAAATGGAGGAAAAGATATAATCCATGACCACAGTATTTTTTTTAAGCCAAAGATTTTTGTAAAAAGAATTATATTTAAGTATCTCTGACTTGATTTCTTCTCACTTTGCCAACTTACTTCAAAGGTAAAATTCAGCATGGCACCGCATTACATTGGAACTGACTTAGAAAAGGTTGAACAAACACCTGTAGCACTTTTCTTTTTATTTTCACTTTGATAAAGCTTTTAAAAAGATACTGAGAGGTTTTTTAGAGCAAGAAATCAAGTATGTCTTGTGGATAAAACAGTACTGACTTTCATTTCTTACTACTTTCATTTCTGCCAAAACTGCATTTGCAAAAGTAAAATTCCTGTGACACATTAGGACAAAAAATTTCCTTTGAGAGATCTGTGAGGATGAAATAAGATACCATTAGAACTTTAAAAATCATGTTATTCTCGGCAAGGAGATCAACACCGCATGCAAAAGGAGATTATTAACTCATTGTAGAAATAACTGAATATATTTTTTGGTTGTTTTAAATACTATTAAAGTAAAACAACAACAAAATATTGTGTTAATAAAAGAGAGGGGAATCTGAGTGGGGTATGGAAGGAGTGAGCGCCCATATTTGTAAATGTGTTTCAACATTGTCCAGGGAAAAGTTACTGAGTGATACCCTGGCATCGAAATACTCCATCTCTTCAGAGAAAGAAATGCATTTAGAAAAGATGGTAGGATATGCAATCACTCCTGCGTCCAGTGCATCTTTTTGGAGAGGCCAGTACCCTCGATTTGTAGCACATACCACACTGCTTTGGGAATAGATGGTGGTGCATCCATACGGGACTCTTTTCAGTAACATTAATCTAGTGTCGCCAAGACCAGGGTTGCCTGGGGCGCGGAGTGGGGGTGTGATTTACCACAAAGGGGCAAGGTGGGGGGGTCCCCTAGGGGCGATAGAAGCTTTTTGTCTTGATTGGGGAGATAGTTAGACTTACATATTCATTTGTTAAAACTATCGAACTGATCGATTGAGGTGGGTAATTTCATATGTCAAGTAAATCTCAACAAGGTTAATAAAAAAAAAAATAAGTACTTGCCCTGTATGAATGCAAAGTGGTGAGCAGACAGCCCCAAGCTGCAGGGGAGTCCAGCATTTATAAAGCGGCCCCCTAGACACCAGAAGTTCTTATCATGAAATTTTCAACCTCTTTCACTTTATTGAGGAGTAACACACCCAGAGAGAGAAAATTGGTGGGAGCCCACAGAGGCACTAGTGTCACGGTTTGAATCCAGCCAACGTGATTTCACAGCTCATAGTCTTACCGCGCTGCTTGCTGGTACACAGTAAAAGCTGAATAAACATGTTGAATGAAGGATGCCAACTACACCTCCTTTAAGCTCACAAAAGGCCCACCGTGAGCCTGAAACTGTCAGGAAAAAGCCAGGGCACAGACGGCGTGTCCGCACGGGAGGAGAAGGTACCCAAAAGCAAACGGCTTGGGGGGAAAAAAGCGGAGCTTGACGCAGAGAGGCGGAGCCAGTCTCGTAGCATTTCCGGCAAGCTTGTACCTCTTCTCTCGCCGTAGTGCCCGAAGCCGGAAGTTCCCTTGAGGTGAGCTCTAAGCTTCCGGACCAGAGCTGGACCCTGAAGTGCCATGCGGGAGAGTCTGTGTGGAGTTGCCGACTTCTAAGTGCTGCCTTAAGTCGTCTTCCGGGTGAAAAGCAGCAGATGAGTAAGTGGCATACCAAGCTAAGGTGTCCGCGGGTTTTTTCGAGTCTCTGCGGGGTCGGGGCTAAAGAAAGCTTTGGGGCCCAGGGGATTGTTTCTACATGAGGCGTTTGTTCTTGTGGTAAAGCCACCTTATGTTTTCTGAGACTTCTCACAGTGGTTGTTTCTTAGCCCGTGCTTACAGAAATTCGCTGGCGTGAGAGATGACGTCCTTAGCCCAGCAGCTCCAACGACTCGCCCTCCCTCAGAGTGACCCCAGTCTCTTTTCTAGAGATGAAGTTGCCTCTTTGTTGTTTGACCCAAAGGAGGCGGCCACCATCGACAGAGACACCGCCTTTGCCATTGGTGAGCTACGCTTTAACTTAGAAGAGCTCTTTGAAACGTTTGTTTTCTGGACGTTGCTGTATTTTCTCTTCTGATTTGCCCTTCTTCTTAGCAGTTTCTAACTTGTTGACATGTTGTTCAGGGAAAGAGGGTGACAAATAACTGTGCTAGATGCCTGACATGCATATAGGCAGCAGTATCTGAATTTCACAGATGAAGAAACTTAGGGAGGTCAACTAATGTGTAGGGAGGAAGAAGGGTCAAAAGGAGCTGGACATGCACATATCTCCCTGGGCAAGGGAAACAAGCAAAAATGAACAAGTGGGATGATATCAAGCTGAAAAGCTTCTGTACAGCAAAGGACACCATCAATAGAACAAAAAGGCGTCCTACAGTATGGGAGAATATATTCATAAAATGACATATCCGATAAGGGGTTGACATCCAAAATATACAAAGAGCTCATGCACCTCAACAAACAAAAGCAAATAATCCAATTAAAAATTAGGCAGAGCATTTGAACAGACACTTCTCCAAAGAAGAAATTCAGATGGCCAACAGACTCGCTAATCATCAGAGAAATGCAAAGTAAAACCACAATGAGGTATCAGGATGGCCAACATCCAAAAGACAAACAACAACAAATGCTGGCGAGGCTGTGGAGAAAGGGGAACCCTCCTACATTGCTGGTGGGAATGTAAATTAGTTCAACCACTGTGGAAAGCAATATGGACATTCCTCAAAAAACTCAACATAGAAATGCCATTTGACCCAGAAATTCCACTCCTAGGAGTTTACCCTAAGAATGCAAGAGCCCGATTTGAAAAAGACATATGCACTCCTATGTTTATCACAGCACTATTTACAATAGCCAAGAAATGGAAGCAACCTAAGTGTCCATCAATGGATGAATGGATAAAGTAGATGTGGTACATATACACAATGGAATATTATTCAGCCATCAGGAGAAAACAAATCCTACGATTTCCAACAACATGGATGGAGCTAGAGGGTATTATGCTCAGTGAAATAAGCCAGGTGAAAAAGACAAGTATCAAATGATTTCACTCATCTGGAGTATAACAACAAAGAAAAAACTGAAGGCACAAAACAGCAGCAGAATCACAGCACTCAAGAATGGACTAACAGTTACCAAAGGGAAAGGCACTGGAGAGGATGTTGGGAAGGGAGGGATAAGTGGGGGAAAGGGGCATTACGACTAGCACCTCCCTAGTTTCTTCATCTGTGAAATTCAGATAATGTAGAGGGGGCCACTGGGAAGGCAGTATAATACAGAGAAGACAAGTAGTGATTTTATAGCATCTTATGCTGATAGACAGTGACTGTAATGGGGTATGTGGTGGGGACTTGAAAATGGGGTGAGTATAGTAACCATAATGTTGCTCATGTAATTGTACATTAATGATACCAAAAAAAAAAAAAGTTGCTGGAGGCAGTGGCTGCAGTGGAGGAGTCTTCCCAGAGGACTGGCTTAGTTGTAGTAGGGATATTTTAAAAAAAGAAGAGCCCCTGCCAGGAAGTACTTTCTGTTCTCCTAGTTGATCAGATAGGAATGATAGGAATTATTCTCTATGTTGAAAACTAGAAATCTGTATTTAGGTCTGTATTATGGATTAAACTTGATTAAACAATGTAGAGATTTTGGGGGTAAGTAAAACTGTGAAAGAGGGGTGAGTTGAGTTTGCTTGCAAAGAATTGTTAAATAAACTGGTGTATTTTTAGGATGCACTGGCCTGGAAGAGCTGCTTGGAATCGATCCTTCTTTTGAGCAGTTCGAAGCACCGTTGTTCAGCCAGCTAGCAAAAACTCTGGAGCGCAGCATTCAGACCAAAGCAGTGAACAAAGAGCTGAATGAAAATATTTCGTTATTCCTTATTCACTTGTCCCCTTATTTCCTGCTGAAACCAGCACAGAAATGTCTGGAGTGGTTGATTCACAGGTAGCAAATAGAATTACGGATATGATTATGGGCTAACGACTTTGATCTTTCTTAAAAACATAATGAAAACATTTAGATCAATATAAAGTTTAAAAATCAGGTGTATTAAGAGATTATCATGATGTCTGTGGTGTGGGTGTGTTCTTCAGTGAAACTTGTTTTTGTTCCTAAAGAAAACTAGAATTATTGAAGATCTCGAATGAATAGTCTAACGTCATTAGTTCTTAGGAGCACATGTTGCTTTGCCATTGCAAGTTGTTTGTGTATTTGGAGCAAAGAGTATTATTAAACTTCTTTCCAAAACAATAAACATTGGTTTTAGAAGAGACAGATGGTATCCTCTAAAATACTATTTAACTTAAGAAAACCAGCAGCAGATAATATGTATTAAACATTTGCATCCAAGTTCTCTGGTAAGCCTTTGAAGGGCATTATCCCAGTGCTCACAGCATTCCTGTAGGGAGATACCTATGTTATTTCCATTTTAAGGGTTAAGTTGCGTGAGTCACAACTAGTGAGCTGAGATACAAGTTTGTTTCCAAGGTCTGATCTTTCATTCACTTTGAAAATTGTTTCAGTAAGTTTACTCAGTTCATTTTCTCACTTATTAGCGTGATATTGGTATTATTTCACAGCTTACACAATTTTGTTTATTCCCCCAAATAGGAATTTTAAAAGTAGAGTGATTCCCATTTCATTAAGTGGACACATGGAGGTAAAATGATTTCCCTTTAGGAAGCAAGTGAGTCTTTGAAAAAAACAGAAGTTTTACTTGGGTCTTCTGATTATCAGAACAGACTCATCAGACAAAGAAATAAAGTCTGTTTTACTTCTGTTTCTGGCATTTAATTTCCCCCCGATAGTTCACTGATGTACTTTTTGCATTTATTTATTCATGTAACTTGGTTAGCAACATTAAGTTGGATACAAGGATGAGTAGGCTGCCCTTGGTTTGGAAGTAAATGCCACAATAAAGGTGTGTGCAAAGTTTTGGGCATGTAGTGCTGCCTGAAGTAGTTGTAGAATGCTTATGGAGAAAGTAACATTTTGGCTCATACTAAAGCCAAATGTATAAGGCAGAGTGATGTGTACTCTATGAAAGATAAAGATGAAACGATAGTTTATAGACAGGCATATGAGATCACTTGGCTAGGAGAATTACCAAAAGCATCTTGAAAAAGGCATTTGAGTTCAGACTTCAAAGCTAGAAAGGATTTAATGTATCTGACAGAATTAATAAGTCTGTCTTACATTGTTAGGGTGGAGAGACCAATACAAAATTTTGTCAAGTTATGGACAAATTTATGGTTGTAATTTGATAATTTTTTTTAATTTAAAGGAAGCAATGTAATTTTTTTTTAAGTTTAGAATTTCTTTGCAGTTTTTTTTTTTACTTGAAGTAGATATACTGTATTAGTTTCAGGTGTGCAACATACTGGTGATTTTCTTTTTAATTAGTCTTTTGGTTTTAGAATTATGATAGGTAAGCTAAAGGAGCTGTGGACAGTAAACTTAGAACCATGGAGAAAAGTTGAGCATTGCTGCCTAGTTGACCCATTTTTTTTTCTCTTGGTTTGACTGCAATTATCCCACAGTTACATTAATAATAGGTTTAAAAAATATTGAAAGTAAATGGAATATAAATTGTCTTATTGAATATTAAAAGGCATTATTGCATAAGACTTGGCAGAACCCTAACTGTCATAATTCTAAAACTGAAAGACTAACTAAAAAGAAAATCACCAGTATGTTGCACATCTGAAACTGATAATGTATGTCTACTTCAAGTAAAAAAAAAACTGCAAAGAAATTCTAGAAATGCAAAATAGAAGACTTATTTAAGTGCTCATCTTGATGATGCTATGCATTTTTACTGGTATTCATTCTAAGTAATTTTAACTCACTGATAAGAGGATTGAACATGTAAGGAAATAATGTGCTTCTAAGTTTTGAATTACTTGTTTCCCCCTCCCCAGGTTCCATATCCATCTTTATAATCAAGATAGCCTCATTGCTTGTGTTTTGCCATACCATGAGACAAGAATATTTGTGCGAGTTATACAGCTTCTAAAAATTAATAATTCAAAGCATAAGTGGTTCTGGTTGCTGCCAATCAAGGTATGGTTGCTGAATGACACTTATCTATAATCATTATAAATCTTGATTAAGAGATACAGTTTGGCAAAAATAAAGTCATTAGTGCTCTTGAGGGTAGTCTGTATTTACTCCACCACTTTTATTTCCTAAGTTCCAGTTAAAGCTATTATGAAAAAGAGCTGACTTTTATTTAGTACCAGACATGAGACTAGGCAATTCACATCTTGGATTCTCAAAAACTCCATTTTTACAAATGAGAACAGTCTCAGAGCATTAAGTTACTTGCCAGAGTTCACCTAACTATAATGTGATGGGTTTGGGATTTGAATCCAAATCTCTTTTAAGCCTGTGTTTTTCCACTATACCATGCTGTCTGACACTTAAAATTTTGCAACTGAATTGCTTTTAAAAAGTTGCAAGTGAAGAAAAGCAGAAAATACTTTAAAAAATTAAAGGGATGAGGATAACTTGAAGGACTTCAGGAAATATTAAAGTTGTAAGAAAGATGCTAGGAATTAATTTATAGGTGAATAAAAGAATGGTTGCCTTACAGGAGGGATCCGACAAAGATCAGATAGCAGCATTTTGTAATAAAACAACTGACTTGCCATTATCACTTTGCAACATATAGTAGAGGAAAGTAGATGTAGGTTATTAGGAATTTTACTGAATATTGAGCATGGCATTTCAGGCTAGGAGGAGGTCAAATGGGGATGGAGGACTAACAGACTGAGACTCTGGAAAGAGTCAACTTTGTGGGTGATGAAAGTGAGGTCAATGATCAGAATTAGTAAAAAGAAAGGGATGGGAATTTTTCATTAGAAGAAGAATTTAAGACTTAGTTTTAAAACCCTTGAACTAAAGAATGTTCAAGAAGATACGGCCAACCTCTCATAAAACTTTTCATACTTCTCAGCATTTACCCTACTAATAACATCAAGACCATTTTTTCCCCTAGTCTATACACAGACCCTGATGCACACTTGTTACAGATATCCAAACTCCACTCACATATTAAAGGTCACTTCAGATTCTCCTTTCATTGATTTATTCAGTATTTACTGGGCAGCCAATACATGCCATGCATGATGCCAGGCAGTGGAAATAGTATAAGTTGGCCCAGTTCCTAGTCTATTTCTATTAATGTTATTTTAAAGTAGCTACAAAACCATATCGCATTGGCTCAAAAAACAAACATAACCAGTAATTATTAAGAGGCCAGAGAATCCAGATTTAGGTAAGTACACATCAAAACGAACACGATAAGCATTTTTCACTGAGCACCTCCACCTTTCTTGCTTGACCTCTTGAATTCTTAAGAGTTTGTGGTACAATTTTATGTATTAATTTCATCTGTACCACCAGTTTCAAGGAGAGACTGTATTTTACATTCATGAACTGTAACAGTATAAAGCTGTTACTTTAGTAGGTACTTTAAAAATAATTAGTTGATGAATATCCTTAGTAATTCTTGGTTCTTTCTGTTTATAACAGCAATCTGGAGTGCCCTTAGCTAAGGGAACTTTGATTACCCACTGCTACAAAGATCTTGGATTCATGGATTTCATTTGTAGTCTGGTGACAAAATCTGTGAAGGTGAGTAGTATATTATTTCATGACTATAATTCCATTGAAACATTGCTCAGAATGAGGAAAACTACTAAGGCCTTCCCTGTGAATAATGGTACTTTGAAGAGGTTCCATTTGTTAAATGATCTAGTTTTGCACCATGAGCAGTTTAATCAGTCTTTCATCACCAAAGGTATTTTTCTATAAAGTTAAATTACTCTATTCCTTGTCAAATTCTATGTACAGTGACTGTTTAAGCAGAGTCCAAAAATGTCAGAAAGAGTATTCCTTCTCAGATTTCACTAGACCATTGAATTTGTGCATTGATTAAGTGTCACATATGGTAAAAAATGAAAATGTCAGCCTGAAGGTAGTTGAGAGTTGTAAATATTTTTATTCTTTTTTCAAATTGGCCTTTCACTCTTAAATGTGCTTTGTGTTTTTGTTCCAGGTTTTTGCTGAGTTTCCTGGGAGTTCAGCTCAGTTGAGAGTTCTCTTAACTTTTTATGCCTCTACCATTGTGTCTGCTCTAGTGGCTGCTGAGAACATATCAGACAATATAGTTGCCAAGTTACTTCCATATGTCCAAAAGGTTGGCCCTGCTCATGTGTAAAGTAGATTCTTTTGTACTTAAAGGAATTTTCTTGCTTTTGAAAATGTCATTAGACACAAATGTTTTAAAATTGATAATTTATTTCAGATGGTTAATGATATTTAACTCTTAGATAAAAAATATGAGTTCTTTTGTCTTAAAACCTTACCAGATCTTATTTAGGACTCCCTAAAAATAATACTGGCTATTTGGCCCTGCCACAGTCTCCCAGATCTAATTTCTTAGCAGTCATGCTACCTCACTGGAAAAAGAATGGATTAGAAGATCTTGAGGAAATAGACTCTTATCATTCTTATTGCATTGACTTCTACTTCTTAATGTTTCTTTTTCCTCAGTGCCTTACTGCATAGTACCCTCCCAGGGTCCTTGTGGAGGTGCTGCTTTTCTTCCCCCCAATGTCCCCAAATTACTGTCTTTAATCAGACACTGTTTTGTTTCTGATCGAAGTCTTCCTTACACAAGTGGGTGTTTGCATATAAAAGAAGGGCTCCTTGAGTCCTGTTAGGATGTGTACTGGGTGTCTGAGTTAGGAGATCCTCTGAGATCCTTTCTGTCATCCAGGACACTTGTTTCATCTCTATGTCCACTCAGGAAACATCTTGAATTTTTACTTTCGAGGAGTGGTTGAGTGTCAGTGTATATAATTAGGTAGTATTAATTTCTGATTTATGGCATTTCTTTGTCAAGGTAAAGTAACATTTTAAGTAGAATAAAATAATACCATTTTACTATTTTTCCTTATATTTTAAAAAATATTTAGGGATTGAAATCATCTTTGCCAGATTACAGAGCTGCAACATACATGATAATATGTCAGATTTCCGTAAAAGTGACAATGGAAGATACCTTCATTAGTTCATTGGCTTCACAGATCATTAAAACACTGACCAAGATTCCCTCTTTGATCAAGAATGGATTAGGTTGCTTGATAGTGCTCCTGCAGAGACAGAAGCCAGAGAGCCTTGGGAAAAAGTATGTACAGTTGAATTGAGAAATGGTAATAGAAGTGAAAGAAATGACTTTGAATAATTTTTTCACAGATAAATTTTGTAATTTATTGCCATTTCTTGTCTAACTTGTAAAGTCAACATATTACGTACTTGTTTCTTCCAAGGCCGTTTCCTCAGTTGTGTAATGTTCCTGATCTTATTACAATACTTCATGGGATTTCTGAAATATATGATATCAGTCCTCTTCTGCACTACATGCTTCCCCATCTAGTTGTGTCCATCGTTAATCATATTACAGGTATGTGGTCGTATATTTTGTGTCCAGAACCTTACTGTCTTAAGATTTGATTCTCTTAAAGGGAACCCTCCTACACTGCTGGTGGGAATGTAAACTAGTTCAACCATTGTGGAAAGCAGTATGGAGGTTCCTCAAAAAACTCAAAATAGAAATACTATTTGTCCCAGGAATCCACTCTTAGGAATTTACCCTAAGAATGCAGCAGCCCAGTTTGAAAAAGACATATGCACTCCTATGTTTATCACAGCACTATTTATAATAGCCAAGAAATGGAAGCAACTTAAGTGTCCATCAGTAGATGAATGGATAAAGTAGATGTGGTACATATACACAATGGACTATTATTCAGCCATTAGAAGAAAACAAATCCTACCATTTGCAACAACATGGATGAATCTAGAGGGTAGTATGCTCAGTGAAATAAGCCAGGTGGAGAAAGACAAGTATCAAATGATTTCACTCATCTGTGGAGTATAACAAAGAAAAAACTGAAGGAACAAAACAGCAGCAGACTCACAGAACCCAAGAATGGACTAACAGTTACCAAGGGGAAACGGATTGGGGAGGATGGTAGGAAGGGAGGGATAAGGGGGAAAATGAGGCATTATGATTAGCACACATAATGTAGTGGTCGGGGGGCATGGGGAAGGCAGTACAGCACAGAGAAGAGAAGTAGTGGCTCTGTAGCATCTTACTACGCTGATGGACAGTGACTGTAATGGGTATGTGGGAGGGACTTGATAATACAGGGAGTTTAGTAACCATAATGTTCAAGTAATTGTACATTAATGATATCAAAATAAAAAATAAGGAAGTAGCCACCGCTTGCAGCGGATGAGAAATTTCCACAATCTCACACTCTTGTTCTTTGCTGATGAACATTTGTTCAAAACAACCCTCCCCAATTTCCCCTTAAACCTAATAAATAAAAGCTCATTGAACTTGAAAAAAAAAAAGATTTGATTCTCTTAAAATAGGACCTAGACCCTTCTTAATATCTTAAAATACTTAGAAGTTTCTGCTATCCAATTTTTTTTGTGTAATTTATCAATTTTTCTCATGTGAGAAACTTTTGGGGTGGCAAGCAGATTGGTTGCAGGGAAATCTTTGTTAATTGAGTGGCTTAGAATTTTTTTGTTTTTAAACTGTGTTTACATGAAACAGTCTTTACATGAAAAGGACTATGGAATTATTTGAAAACAATTTTAAAAAGTTACCAAGTAAACTTCCCTTCTCATTTAGCTATGTAGTGAATTTAGTGATTCATTTACAACAAATACCCAGTTGCCAAAAAGTTTTTCACCCTTGAGTCATTGCAAATATAAGACCAAGAAAATATCTTGCATAAAAATCCAAATTTTAATTTGCATGGTATTTTTTTACCCTTCAATAAATAAATAAATACAAGGAAGGAATACTTGGTCCTATTGCTACTTGGACTAAGAAAGCCATCCCTTAAAATAATGTGAGTCTATTGGAAAATCAAGGTTTGCTCAGTCAGATCGTGATTTAAACATGGGTTTCAGAAACATGACTAGCATAAATATGTATTTTTCCTGTTCTGATGGTGATGAGTAATATGATCCTGTGTTTGAAGGCAGGGCTAGCATCCAATTCATTTATCTACAGTCTAGAAGATGACAGCTCTTGGTTCAGTAAGGAAGTATTGAGATGAAAGCTTAGCCTGTTTTCAGAAAGATTTTTGAGGTCTATGTTCAGGTCCCAACTTAAACCACTTGTAATATGACCTGGGTAAAGACTGTGTTTTGGATTTCTGTTTTATTAAAATGATAGATGTGATAATACCTGTCTTTAAAAATGTACAGAATATCAGGTAAAGGATAAATAAGGGTAACGTATACAAAAAAGCTTTGAAAAATATAAATGACTATATTGGTGAACTATGCTTTTGAAAATAGGTAAAAACCTGGATGTTGATCTATATATTTTAAAGTTATTCCTGTAGAAAGATTTTTCTGCTGTAAATAAATTTAATAGTATAAGCATGCAAAAAAATATTCCCTAATTTTAATTTTTGTTCTATACTAAGGAGAAGAAACTGAAGGGATTGATGGTCAAATCTACAGGAGACACTTAGAAGCTATACTCACAAATATATCACTGAAAAACAACTTAGACCATTTATTGGCTAGGTAAGCTATTTTTTACATGCTTTTGATTGGTATTTTTGTGGCTGAGTGTATTTCTCAGAGTTGGTTAGCAGTTTTCCAGTATCCCTTTATAATGTACTTCTTACTTTCCCCATATTTCATTAATTATAAAAACATAGTTCAATAATTATGGCAACAGAAGAAAAAGTGCTTTCTCTTGCTTGTCTTTAGTGCTTACATGTGATCAGAAAGTTAATAGTTAAGATAAATATGGGTTATAGCTACATGTAATTTGTGACTTTAGACTTTACTATTAATAAATGGGCCCAGATGCCTGAAAAATCTACATCACAGTTGGTATTCAAACGTCTATGAAGTTTGAGGGTTGATGGGAAGTAAAGACAATTTCATCCCTTTCTGTAAAAATAGTTCAGTCTTCTAAACTGTCTTTTTCTTACAGGACAACTTGATACAGTGAAAAGAATGTAGGCATTGCAGTCAGGAATAGGGTTGAGTCCTGCCTCTGTCATTGCCAAGAAAGTAGTTAGTTTCTGGAGTTCAGATTGCCTGAAACTGGTTTTGCCATCTTGTAACATGGGGTGGATACTTGTCTTCTGATGGGTATCACTTGTGCTCCAGCTCTCAGTTTAGCTTGTGAATTAAATGAGAGCATACCTGAAGTACTGTTGAGAACTTCAGTTCAGATAAGGGCTGAAAGCAGTGCTCTACATTTGGTGGCCCAGTAGGACTCACTAAGTGTTGACTCTTGTTACTGTTGTCATTTGACTCCGGCAAATTCTAAGACTGTTGGACTGTTGAGTTCTAGTTTCTGTTTCTAGAAAATAGGTTATGACTTTTACCTCATATAGATGTGATAAAGATATTTGTAAAGCATAGAAACTATTGACTATATAGCATATAAAACAATAGAACTATTGACTGTATTCTCTATGCTGTACTTTCATCCCCATCCTAGAATATAATAGGTACTCATTAAATAGTAACTTGTGTGCCTGCTGACACTTGTTTTGTTTTGCAGCCTTCTTTTTGAAGAGTATATTTCATACAGTTCACAGGAAGAAATTGATCTTAATAAAGTGTCTTTGCTTAATGAACAGTTTCTTCCACTTATCAGGCTTTTAGAAAGCAAGTAAGTTGTGTGTTTGTTCCCTTCTCTTAAAGTTTTATAAAGAGAGTATTCACAAGTAACATTTTAGTGTAGTGAATGAATTGTAAAGAGACTATCCTTACTTTTTTTCCTCCCCTTCAGGAAGGGACAGGCATAGGATTTAAAAATAGGCAAGCTATAAATGGAAATAGGGGTTATGTGCGGACCATGGAGAGGATATTTTATGTAGAGACTTTGATAATTTTTTATTGAAGTATAGTTGATACACAGTATTACATTGGTTTCAAGTATATGTGACATAGTGATATGGCAGTTACATACATTACTAAATGCTTACCCCAACTAGTATAGTTACTATCTGTCAATACAAAGAGAGGCTATAGAACTATTGACTATATTCTCTATGCTGTACTTTAATCCCCATGACTAATTTATATTATGATTGAGATTTTGTGCCTCTAGCTGCTTCACCTATTTCACTCACCTACCCTAACCCCACCTGATGGTAACCACCAGTCACTTCTCAGTGATTCTACTGCAGTTCTGTTTGTTTTGTCTTTTTTTTTTTTGGATTCTATGTATAGATCATATGATATTGGCTTTCTCTGCCTGGCTTATTTCACTTAGCATAATGCTCGCTAGGTCCATCCATGTTGTCACAAACAGCAGGATTTCTTCTTTTTTGTGGCTGAATAATATTTCATTTTATATATGTATCACCTCATCTTTATCCATTCATCTATTGATGGATACTGCAGTTGCTTCCATATCTTGACTATTGTAAATAGTGTGGCAGTGAACATATGGGTGCATCTATCTTTTCAAATCAGGGATTTTGTTTCCTTTGGGTAAATTCCTAGAAGTGGAATTACTGGGTTGAATGGTATTTGTATTTTTAGTTTTCTGAGGAACTTTCATACTGCTTTCCATAGTGGCAGTACTAACTTACATTCCCACCAACAGTGTAGGAGGTTCCCTTTTCTCCACATCCTTGCCAACACTGTCTTCGATAGTGGCCATTCTAACTGGGATGAAGTGATGTCACATTGTGATTTTGATTTGCATTGCCCTCATGATTAGTGATGTGGAGCATCTTATCATGGTCCTGTTGGCCATCTCTATGTCTTATTTGGAAAAACATCTTTTCAGGTCCTCAGCCCATTTTTTAATTGGCTTATTTGATTTTTGGTATTGAGTTGTATGTGTTCTTTATATATTTTGGATACTAACCCCTTATCAGATAAATCATTTAGGAATATATCCTCCCATACTGTAGGATGCCTTTTTGTTTTGTTGATGGTGGTCTGTGCTGTACAGAAACTTTTTAGTTTGATGTAGTCTCACTCGTTCATTTTTTATTTTGTTTCCCTTATCCTGGAGAGATGTGTCCAGAAAAAAAATTGCTCATGCTCACATTGAAGAGATTTTTGTCTGTTTTCTTCTAAGAATTTTATGGTTTCACGTCTTATATTTAGGTCTTTAATCCATTTCAGGTTTATTTGTATATGGAGTCAGACAGTAATACAGTTTCATTTCTTGTGTTTAGCTGTCCAGTTTTCCCAACACCAGTTATTGAAGAGACTGTTTTCTATTGTGTATTCATGGCTCCTTTATCATATATTAATTGACCATATATGCATGGGTTTATATCTGGGCTCTCTAGGCTATTCCATTGATCTATGGGTCTGTCTTGGTGCCAGTACCATACTGTTTTGATTACTGTGGGTTTGTAGTATAGCTTGAAGTCAGTGTAATACTTCCAGCTTTGTTCTTTCTCAAAATTGCTCTAGCTATTTGGGGTCTTTTGTGGTTCCATTAAGTTTTAGGATTATTTGCTCTAGAGTTCATTTAGAAATGCCATCGATGTTTTGATAGGGATTGCATTGAATCTGTAAAGTGGTTTGGGCGGGGTGGCCATTTTGATAATACTTAATTCTTCCTATCCATGAGCATGGGATAGATTTCCATTTATTTGTCTCTTCATCAGTTTCTCTCATGCGTGTCTTACAGTTTTCAGAGTAAAGGTCTTTTACGTCATTGGTTAGGTTTATCCATATTTTATTCTTCTTGGTGCAGTTGTAAATGGAATTGTCCTGATTTCTCTTTTTTGTTAGTTCATTATTAATATATAGGAATGCAACATATTTCTGTGTATTGATTTTGCATCCTGAAACTTTGCTGAATCCAGTTATTCTAATAGTTCTTTGGTGGAATCTGTAGGGTTTTCTATATCTAGTATCATGTCATCTACAAATAGTGACAGTTTTACTTCTTTCTTACCAATTTGGGTGCCTTATATCTCTATATTGTCTGATTGCCGTGGCAAGGACTTGAACTATGTTAAATAAAAGTGAGATTGGACATCCTTGTCTTGTTCCTGATCTTAGAAGAAAAGTTTTCAGCTTTTAGCTATTGAGCATAATGTTAGCTGTGGATTTGTTGTATTTTGCCTTTATTATGTTGATGTATGTTCCCTCTGTACCCATGTTGTTGAGAGTTTTTATTATGATGGGTACTGAATTTTGTCAAATGCTTTTTCAGTATCTGTTGAGATGATCATATGGTTTTCGTCCTTCCTTTTGTTAATGTGTTTCACATGGGTTGATTTATGAATACTGTACCATCCTTGCATACCTGGAATAAATCCCACTTGGTCGTGATGGATGATCCTTTTGATGTATTTTTGAATTCAATTTGCTAATATTTTGTTGACAATTTTTGCATTCATTGGAGATATTGGTCTGTAATTTTCTTTCTTTGTATTGTTTTTGTCTGCTTTTGGTATTAGAGTGATGCTGGCCTAACAGAATGAGTTTGGAAGTATTCCCTCTTCTATTTTTTTTGAAAAATTGAAGAAGGATGGGTATTATTTACTCCTTAAATGTTTGGTAGAATTAATCTGTGAAGCCATCTGGATCTGGACTGTTAATTACCAATTCAGTTTCATTACTGAAAATTAGTCTGTTCAGGATTTCTGTTTCTTCCTGGGTCAGTCTTGGAAGATTGCATGTTTCTAGGAATTTGTCCATTTCTTCTAGGTTGTCCAATTTATTGGCATATAATTTTTCATATAATTCTCTAATAATTCTTTGTATTTCTGCAGTTGTAACTTCTTTATTGTTTCTGATTTTGTTTATTTTTTGCCCTCTCTTTCTTGATAAAAGACTTTTTGGAATAGTCATAGAAACAAACTTGATCAATATTATTTGGTTTTACATACACTATTTGTTAAAATTTTATCTCTTAATTTCAGTAATTCTTAAAATTCTGTTTTGCATGCATATTTGATGTGTGTGGTTATTAACTTTATTAAGAATAATGAATTAACTCTTTAATTTCTTTCCAGATATCCTAGAACATTAGATGTTGTATTAGAGGAATGCCTAAAAGAAATTACAGATGTAAAAAAACAAGAGCTTTTTCACCAATTTATCTCTCTTTCTACAAGTGGAGGAAAGTATCAGGTACTTTGTTTCTTCAAAAGAATTATATGACACTTAGGGGTATATTTCTGTGGTTATTTGAAGAGCTCCAGAAGGAAATTTGCTACTTCTCTGCTCTGTTTGGAAAGTTTCATGGAGAGATGAGATACACAGTTTGTATAGTTAACTGAAGTAAGGCCATGAGGTAGGAGTTGAATAATTGCCAAAAGGTGATCTTACTTAGGTTTCCAGTTTTCCTTACCTTTCTCCCATAACTGTACTTTGCAGTGCAGTACCCACTACCCATGTGTGGCTATTTAAATCACTGATAAGACAAAGGGAGCTGCAATTTTATTTTATGATCATGTTAGTACTTGAGAAATTTCCTGATGATTCACTCTAAATCTTTATACTAGAAGTTAGATATTTGAGCATTTCTTAAAATAAGTAGTCTTGGAGATAAATATTAGAAAGAGAAATATGTTTTGGTTTTTCTTTTCAATAATTAGACTCAACTTTAATGGTGTTTCATTTCCAAATCTTATGTTTATAGACTTCCTTCCTAGTCTGATTATATAACTGAAGTTAAGTCATTGCTAATTTGAGTGTCACTGCTTTATCATTTCAGTGAATTGTATTGTCTTCAGTAATTCAGTTTTTTAAAATTTATGTTATCATTTAGGTAATAATATGGTGATTTATCTTAGATTCTTTTTACTATATTAGAGTTACAGAAAGAATATAAAAATTAATTAAACCTACACACAGATATAAGTATACATAAAATCACAATATTAATGATACAGTTTTTTTATTTGTTATAACCTTTGCTGTGTTCTAGAAACAAAGATTGTACTTTACATTTTGGTTTCTGAAGTTAGACAATTGTTACTGAGTATGTTGGGCAGTTTGGGGTGGTTTTCTTTGGATTTTCTTCTTGATCATATGCTGCCAGATTTAATGGTGAAATCATTTGGTATTTCTGCTGAATCCTATAGATTTTAGCAGATTCTGATACCTCCTTGATGCTCAGTCTGAATCATCCACTTGCTCCTGTGAGACTTCTGGCCATTAATCATCTGAAAAATATCATGAAAACATCAAAGGTTTGCATCAAATACTTTCATTTGTGATGTTTTTATCCTTAGGATGAACAATGTAATTCTAGAATAAGAAATTAAAGCCACCAACTAGAATCAGTACTTTGTAATTACACAGATAAACTAAATAAAGTGGATGAGAATATGGGACAAAGATTTAGGGCTGTACGTGCCAGTAACCACCATCTTAACCTGTATATGCCCTAATAACAAGTGGTTTTATGTGCTTCCACACTGCAGATTATTAGTTTCTCATTCAGTATTTTTCAAACAGGAGTTTATAGATAACTTTACAAAGGTTCACAAATTATCTGAAAGTCTAAAAGTTTTGAAATTCGATTTTGATGGCCTTAATTAAGTTTAACATAAACTTATTTGGGGATATCAGAATGATAGCTTTTGGAGCATTGCCCCATGATTTCAGTACCTGCAGTTGTATTTGTGTCTAAAATTTTGGTGGCTCCAAATAGTAAGTATAGAGGCTGAATTAATTTGTAAATAATGTCTTTATACCAAAATGATGTTTTACTAAGACTGCAGTGTTTCAAATAGAGCAGTAGTTTCTGAACTTTATCTGTTCAGGCAGTACCTTCACAGTTTTTGCTATTAGCTTACCACTGTACTATTTTCTTAAAATTTTTCTTTATCTTTTAAATGGACTCACTATTTTATGTAGCATTCAAATCCTGGGTTTGAAGTACTAAATTTTATGTACATTTTACTGTAGTTAACTCTAATTAATATAGGAGAATTTGTGTAATACCTAAAATCATCTTGTGCTATTTTTTGCATATTTGGAAGCTTTCTTGAATAGGAAAAGTCATAGCAGAGTTCTCCCATTGTGCATAGTAGTATAACCATGTTGAATTCTATAACTGTGTCATGACAATTAGAACCAGATTAATGTTACAAGTAGAATTAAATTTCAGCTAATCATAATGACCACATTAAATGTGGCATCTCAATTTGAATTTTACTGGTTTTGTAGAGTTTTTTTTTAATATTTGACTTACAAATTAGTGTTTTATGTCTTTAGTGTTTATATTTTTAAGGGTTAAAATTAATTTTAAAATGATATATAAATAATTAGGGTCTGTGAGAATGTTTCTTTAAAAGTGGGCGATATAATACTCAAATTTGTAATATATTACTTTATTTGATTTATTTTCAAGCTAGCATAAATTACATTGCTTTTGCAAATTGCTGATAGGTTTGTCTATTGATGTGTTGGGTAATTAAATTCATTGACTACACATCTTTGCAGTAATAGGACAATTTCAGTTTCTAGAATAAAAAAAGGGATCCTTGGAATCTCCTAATATTCCTGAAGCTATTCTCATACTTACTTTTCATCTCTTCCACCCCTGTCCTCTTCTGGATTTGGTTTAGTTTTCCAGGGAAGGGCACTGTATACCTTCAGCTTACAGACTTACATATTATTACAGTTAGTGTCTTTCTTTGCATGCATTAATTTCATTTTCCCCTTCTTCATCAGATGGGACATAGGTTTTCTAGAATTTCAGATTGGATATTTGGCTACTTGTTAGCTCTTGAGAAAATTCTGGTGACATTTGGTACATGAAACTTTGACTTCAGTTTTGTGAATTCTAGGGATTTTAGTTTATTTCCCAGCATAGTGTATAGACCTGTATTTTTTGGTAGGATTATTTAGCTTTTTTTCACCACCTACAGTAGGGATATATTCAGGTTGATTTGCAGTTTTACTTCTCTGTTATTGTGAAGGATTACATGCTTTATTTTATTTCATCACTTAAAAAAAATAGGATCTTTGTTTTGGCAGACTGCATTTCTCAGTGCATATCCTAATCCTTACAAAAATTTTGATGATAATAGCTAACTTTTAACAGTATTTACTGTGTGTAAGGGACTCTTCTAAGCAATGACAAGTATTAGTTAATCCTTTAACAATCCTTTGAGGTGAGTACTATTATTAGCTCTGTTTTGTAGATGAGAATAGTGAGACCTAGAAACTTAGGTAATTTGCTTAAGGTCACACAGCTAGTACTAGGATTTAAATCTAGACATTCTGGTTCTTTATTCTATGCATTTTGAATATCTGGGCTCTCATTTTAACAAGGTGAACTCCTTAATGCCAAAGTTACGTTTGGAGTATACATACTTGATTATACTGTCAGTGGAAACTGAAAAGTTTGTATCAAACAGTTGCTCATCTAAAAAGGCCTTTAATGATTATCTAGTTCAATCCAAATACAATTAGTATGTTTGAATTTGCATCCAGGACAGAACCTGTTTCCTTGACTGTGTTCTAGAATGCTGTTCACAAAACCAAGCTTCCTTTCTAATGTAAAGTCTTAGGAGATTTTAAAAACAAGTAAACTAATATATTTTTTCTCTTGTTTAGGAGAGCATTGATGAGTCTTTCATAAAAGATGCTGTTTTAACCCGATTAGCTGATGATAGTATAGACGTTGTTTTGTCAGCTATAAGTGCTTTTGAGGTGAGTCAATTTGTTGTCCTTTTAAGTATACATTTTGTTTTTAAGTATTTTGTTGTGCTTCTCACATGATTCTCTGCTTTAAGTAAGAGTATATTTGGAAATCATTCTTCTCTTGGAAATTTGTTCTTTTGAGAACACAGACTTAAGCTTGTTAGGGAAAATTGACAGGCGTAATTAGACTGCACAAGTTTATATATATGGAAGTTCTTTAACAAGATAAAGTGCTTTGTGAATTTTTATCAGTAAATACCCTGGGACCACGGAATATTGGCTCATAAATGCCAATTTTAAGAAATTATTCTCATAAAACTTTTAAATCTATACTAGGATTTAAGGGATAAATTATAATTCATTATCTTTCATAGTTTATTTAGCAAGCACCATAAGTACTTGAAGCAAGTACAAATTTGCTCATGGCTATTTTTTTCCCTCTAGGTTTTTAAACAACATTTTAGTTCAGAAGTGTCTGTTTCAAATCTTCTGAATCTCTTTCAAAGAGCAGAACTTTCAAAAAATAAAGGGTGGTATGTATTCATTTCTCCTTATGCTATTTGAATCAGTAATACTCTTGCATCAGGTTATTTTGGTTTTCTTTTTCTTTACAATTTTGCAACATACAGTTTAGTTATATTGATGCCTTGGTAATGGTAGTGGAAAGGATCTTAATATAACACTTTTGCATTATAAAAACAACTTGGGTTTGTATGGGTTCATTTTATTTTTTAAAATTTTCTTGATAAAATGGAAAAAAGCATATAATTCATATAATTTTGAAATCCTTTATATAATTGATTTTTTATAAGGATAGTATATTACTTTATAATTAAAAATACATATTTAACAAATAAAAAATAAGCTCATAGGCATATGGCACCTATCTATAGTAAGTATTTGATGAATTCTGATTAATTCATTTTGGGCACCTAAGCTTTTTACATGGAAAAATGAGTAAGCTCATAAGAGAGAGCATGTCTTACAGGTTTTTGTATGATACTTAGTTCTTTGTACACAGTATATATTCAGATATTTTTTGAATGCATGAGTGAATCTCTGATTTCTAGTGAAGTTGAGATACATAGTGTGAAGTATGTTTTATGTTTATAGTTAACCTAATTATTTCTCCTAAATTTAACCTAAAATAACTCCTTTATTTACATAGATTTTAAGTGATTATCTTGGTGTCTCTGAATAATGTGTCTGGTGAAGAGACCAAGGTGTCTGTTGAGGTAGAACAATGTAATGGTGATATTTGCTGAACTGAAGCTTCTAACATGTCTTTCAACCAAATTTCTTATGTATCTTTCAGGTACAAGGTACTTGAAATAGCAGCAGACATACTAATTAAAGAAGAGATACTGAGTGAAAATAAACAGTTGTCTGATCAGGTAGTGGTACAGCTGCTGCCGTTTCTCGTTATTGACAATGATGATATGGAATCTGCTGAGATGAAACTCGCTATATACTTATCAAAATCAGGGATTTGCTCTCTACACCCTATGTTAAAAGGCTGGGAAGAAAGTAAGAAATTCAGTTGTTCTTTAAAGGGGGGAAAACACTTTAAACACTTGAAAAAAGAAGATAATTACAATTAAAGACTGGCTATAATTGTTATTTGAAATCATGTTTGTTGATACATGCCAGCAAGATTTTTAAAAATTTTTGCTAAGATAAAAAGTATACAATGAAAAGAAAACGGATGTGCAGACAGATTCAGAATTGGATAAAAAGAAAAGTAAAAAAAAGCAAATCTTCATAGGAAAATTGTGTAAAATTTTTGCCTAAATTCACAGGACTCCTTAGATGAGTATTGATGACATAAGGGCCTTCTGTGTTCAATTTTAAAAAAAAGTTTTTTTACAGCTCTTGAAAATGTGATTAAAAGCACAAAGTCAGGAAAACTAATTGGTGTAGCAAATCAGAAGATGATTGAGTTGTTGGCTGACAATATAAATTCGGGGGATCCTTCTTCAATGTTAAAGATGGTAGGTGTGCTCTTGAAGATAATCCCTGGGTTTCCTTCTCATAATCTTAATAGATTCTCAGTATTTTACTAGATCAGCCTTTTTTTAAAAAAGTAATTTTGTATTCTTCAGTACTTTGTTTTGCCTTAAACATGTATTTTTCAGTGTATTCTGCAGATTGTTTGAAACCCTTAGCATTTTATATAATTTTTTCATTGTGGTTTTATATTGGACCAGTAAAAATAATGTGTTCTATTTCACCTTCCTTTTTTCTTCTCATTTAAAATACTGAAATCATATATTTTAAAAAAATAGCAAAATACAATCTAAAAGAGGAGAAAATTTCCCTTGCCTTAGTAAATAAACCTTTGTGAAAGTGTTAGGTGTATAATTTAAAGACATTTATCCACTTGGCAGTTGTAATTATGTTCATTGTAATTTCTGAAATTATGTACTTTTATAATACTTATAAGTCAGTGCTTACTATTTTTTTAAGGCTTTATATTTGTCATTGTACTTTAAATGTAAAAAGCATAATACCTAGATAGGTCTCAGGTAGAGAAGATTATTTTACATAGCTAAGAGTTACCAGTAATGGAATGTGTTTATTTTTCAAGGTGGAAGATTTAATAAGTATTGGGGAAAAGGAGTCCTTTAGCCTGAAGCAGAAAGTAACTTTTCATGTCATCATGGCTGTGTTGGTGTCTTGCTGTTCATCTTTAAAAGAAACTCACTTTCCATTTGCAATAAGAGTCTTCAGTTTGCTGCAGAAAAGAATAAAGAAGCTCGAAAGTATCATTACTGCAGTGGTAAGAAGTACAAAGTCTGGAAAGTTGAACATTGAGTGAAATGACAGCCTGGTCCGTTAATCACAGTAAAGCTGAAAATTGGAGGCTGAGATGCTGAGTCTTTGATGTTAGACATGAAATGAGAAGAAGCCATGAGTAGCAATAGTGAATTTTACAGAAAATTTGATTCAGTTACATAATTTTAGGGTTGCAGTGCTTGGTGTCTGATGATCAACTCTGGCATGTATTTTCTTTATTAAGTGATTATTCAAACTGTAACTATCTATAATGATGAAGAATTTATTCAATATATTAATCATTGAACAAAATATGACTTTACTTACTAAGTATTATTCTAATACTACATTAGATTTGGATTTTGCCAGACATTATTACTAAGGATCTTGTTTCAGTTGTTTGTATTTTTGCCAGTACCACATCTGGAGGTACTAAGATAATTTCTTTTAATGATCTGCCATTCAGAGAAAGACAAGTACCAAATGATTTCACCCATCTGTGGAGCATAAGAACAAAGCAAAAACTGAAGGAACAAATCAGCAGCAGACTCACAGAATCCAAGAATGGACTAAAAGTTACCAAAGGGAAAGGGACTGGGAGGGAGAAGGAATAAGGGGCATTATGATTAGCACACATAACGTAGTGGTCGGGGGGCATGGGGAAGGCAGTACAGCACAGAGAAGAGAAGTAGTGGCTCTGTAGCATCTTACGCTGATGGACAGTGACTGTCATGGGGTAGGTGCTGGGGACTTGATAATGGGGGGAATCTAGTAACTATAATGTTGCTCATGTGACTGTGTTAATGATACCAAAATTAATTGATACCAAATTTTATATTGGTAATGATACCAATATAAAATACTTTGTTTCTTTTTTCCTCCAAACTTCATTTCAGAGGCTCCTCATAGGATTTGCAGAACGAATCACATGTTTTCATATTTACATATGTCCTCAGTATTTTATAAGTTCTGTGATCATTGTTAGGTAAAATAATGTAAACCTTAAAAGTAATTCTTTGCATTTTAAAATTAGCCCTGATAGGCCCTTCTTTTTTTTTTTATTAAAGTATCATTAATATTACAATCTTGTGAAGGTTTCACATGAACAACATTGTGAGTTCAACGTTCAGCTATAAGTCCTCACCCCCACTATTGCAGTCATTGTCTGTCAGCATAGTAAGTGCTAAATAGTCATTACTTGTTTTCTCTGTGCCTGATAGGCTTTAACTTCTTTCTTTATCTTTTGTAAGGTGTAATAATCTGAACTGCATTTGTTCTCAATCTTAAAAGTATGGACAAACTGAGTGTTTTGTGTTATATAACAGATTGTTTTCTATTGTTTTACATTTAATTCCCTAAGAGTCATGAGCATCCTTTTGGCTGTAGCTGCATGATGAACCAATGAAATCCATCACTAAAGATATTATCATATAAGTCTAGTTTTGGATTATTTTCTTTCCAAGTTAAGACTCTGGACTAACTTATGTGGAGTCTCATTTGTCATTTTCCTGCACTTTTTCTCATGCTTCCCTTTGGCATTTTCTGTATAATTTTTAAACATCTCAACATTTTCTTTTTAGAGTCATTTCCAAGTTTGGAGATTTCACCACATACTTTATTCAGATTAGGAGTGAAAATGTGAAATTAGAAAAGTCTCTTTAAGGAGCTCTTGGAAATCCAACTCATTTTCTGTTTAGAAGTGTGCCATTTAATAAAGAACAATTTATATGAATAACATTTCTTTTTGGGGATTTTGTTTTTTAAAGAAAACATAGATAAAAAGAAGCCAGGGTTAACTTGTTTGTTAATTTATTATGTTAACTTATTATCTTTTAAGTAGTGATAATTAAGCCTTTTTAAAAATCTAATTAAAGCTACTAATCCTCTCCCCACCTAATTGTCCACATAGACAAAATTTTGCATATTACCTTATCATACATCCATTGCAGTCCACCTATATAAACTCTGTTCAGAACCCCTTAAATTTGTACTCTTTCTGTTTCCCTTACCATCTCAGGAAATCCCCAAAGACTGGCATTTTGAGCTGATGATGGACAGAGTGATACCAGTGGAGCTGTGGGCACATTATATAGAACAGCTCAACAATGCCCAGAGGATTGCTGTGGAGGACTCAGTATTACTTGTATTTTCACTGAAAAATTTTATTCATGCACTAAAGCCTCCTAAATCTTTTCCTAAAGGTAAGACAGGGTATGAATCTTTTGATGTGGTGCTCTAAAAAACTAAATTATTGATTTCTTGACTGTTCTTTGTTTTGAGTGGAAAGTTCCCAGTAGTGTGTTCACATACATTTATGCATCATTTCTCCTTCTCTTTATGTCCATGTAGATGACATATGGTGGAATCCTGCACAACTGCAAGAAGACAGCAGAAACTATCTGCAGTTGCTTATTGGGCTCTTTGAGATTGTTCTCAATGGTGCTGATGCCATCCATTTCAGGATTCTGATGAAACTCTTCACAAAGGTATCAGCCTTATCTTTTTCAGGCCTGGTCTTCCCTTTAAGAAGAAGATGCAGATTGTTTTAGTTATGACCGTTTTTAATGAAGATGAAAGTAGACCTTTAAACAGTGAAGATTATAATAATAAACACAGGCCCTATAAAGCAGTACTGTACACATGACACCAGTCAGGTTGGACAGACTAACAAAAACTGCTGCATGCCTACTAATGTGTTAGGCTGGTAAATGTATGTCATAGCAGCAGGAATAAAACCAAGCAACCCAGACTTATTTGCTTAGTTGCTGCCACTACCAGTGAGAAACTAATGTTCAGGGAGATGATTTCACATAAGCAGTGTCACCCAGTTAAGAAATTTCATCAGGCCTTAGTGACCTCTGTGTTGCCAGGTTCAGGGGTCAGTTCTTTGTTCTTATCTTACTTGCTCCTCAGCAGCGTTTGACAGTTGTTGCTCACTCCATTTGAAGTGCATTCCTAATGAGGCTTCCCAAACATCACTCTTGTCTTGGATTTCTGCTTTGTGTTATCTTTTTTTGTGGTCATTTTTAGTGTGTTCAAGTGCAAAGTTACAGCAAGTCCTCTGAATATCACTGAGTATCAATTCTCTGAATTTACATTCTTCCCAATTGGTTAAAATGAGTATAGAGTAATTTTAAGTGATTAGACAAAGCAAAACATAAATTGTTTTCTATAATGTACACTCATGAAAACAGGATTTGGAACCCACCTATATGAGTAAAAATTAAATTTCACTGTCTGTTTTTGTTTTTACATTTAGGTACATCTGGAAGATGTTTTTCAGTTATTCAAGTTCTTTTCTGTTTTATGGACTTACAGTTCAAGCCTTTCAAATCCACTTAACTGCAACGTGAAAACAGTGCTGCAGACTCAGGCCCTTTACATAGGTTGTGCAGTGCTCTCTGCTCAGAAGGCACAGTATAAACACCAGCTGGCATCTCTCTCTTCTCCAGGTACTGGAAGTAGCATTGTTATGTTCTGTCATGAGCAACTGTATATGTAGCTGATGTTGGTTATAGTTCGGAAAATTTATTTTTTATTTTATTTTTTAAATAGACCACATGTACTCCCTCTCTGGGTCTCTTTTTATATGCACATACATTTTACATATGTTTTATACATTCATACGTATACACTCACATACATACCATTTCTGGTTACTTCTAAGCTACAAATGTCAACTGCAAAATCTCACCAAAATAAGTAATAGAAATTGTAGATAATTAATCACGGGTTCTTAATATCCAACTTCATTTTTCTGAACTTCAGCAGTTATAGTCATAATACAATTCAGTATTCAACTGACTACTTAAAGAATGGGCCTCCACTCAGACAGGCCTCCTGGATTTGTCTCTTTCATCAGGTATAAGTAATTTTCAGGTTAGGTGCTCATTAATGAATCACCAAAAGTGAAATTTGTATTTTTGATAAAGGGAAATTGCAGTTGTGCAAAAGGTACAGAGCTGATGAATATGATGTTAAACATCAGTTGGTTTACAAAGCTACTGACGAATGAGAATTAGACCTGATAGTGATTGAATATGAGAAAGCCAAGGATAATGGATGTGATTGGTACTTCACAGAGGAATGAGTGACCCTTGGGAAACTTGAAGATACTCTTGATTAATTTTTGTATTCCAAAATTGCTTTTTACAAATGTTCTGTGAAAACAGTGAATAATCATGTGCTTTTCCTAGAATAATTTCTCAATGTTTATTTTTTATTAGTTTCTTGAAAGAGCAGTAATTACAATCATAGCCAAACTTTTGTTAAATAAAAGGTAAAGTTAATGCGTAATTTTAAGCTTTACTTACAAAATAAAATCCCATGAATGTAATTATTTCTCTGCTACTCATCATAGAATAGGTGAATTTTACTATTTTAGGGGATTTACTTTTAAAGGTTTTCTTTTTCCAGGTTTTTTTTGATGAGAACCTATTGTACATTTTTAAAAATTTAATTTTTCAAATAATATGTTATAAGCATTCTATATTTAAAAATACAGAAATAAGTCTTTTAAAATGTCTGCAGAGTATCCCATTGTATGCAAATGGCATTATTTATTAAACTGGTTATTGACTGTTAAACTTGTGAGTTTTCAATAGGTATATATATTTTATTTATAGATCATAACTATTTCAATTTCTAATTAGATATGAAAGCCTACCATCCTTTGGCATCAAACGTGGTGGCCCCTGAGGAATATATGTCTTTTTGTCTATAAATGGCAGGACCAAAGCACTTAATTTTTCCTCTGGCATTGCTGCAAGACGGCAGGCTTCCTAGCTACCCCAGATGCCTCATCTGCTGTCATCTCCACCCTTCCTAAAGTACTTTTGCATTTATACTACCCAGACATCACAGTACTCCACTGAAAACAGGAGAGATGCCCCTTGTGGACCATACACTAGAGTCCCACAGGGCCTCATTTAGATGGCCACCTAGTTGTAGTACCTCTTAGTGCTCTCCACGTGGAGTCCACAGTGAGCTTCTATCCATACTTGCCCATGAGGAGTCTAGAAAGTGTTGGTTGATGTTTGTTTTAATTTACTTAAAAATAAGCATTAAATATCATTTGTAAGGTAGAAGCTACCTTTGGTTTGTTATGCCTGATCAATATAGTAAATTTATTTACATGTTTAAAAATAAAACTCAAATATTTCAGTCAATTTTTATGTAAAATATGCTATTTTAAATATAAAAATGAGTTGGGAGAATGATGGCATGTAGATTTTTAAATGGAAGAATGTTTCTGAAAGCTGATTGCTTAAAGAATGTAGCTTTCACTGATCTTGAGTTCCAGTACCTTACTTGAACATGGTAACTGTAGTACTTAGTATTTTGAATTTGTTTTTGAAAATTCCCTATTGAAGGAATTTTAGCAAATAGATATCTTGGCATGAAACTGTCCTTTGTGTGAATTCAACTTTACAGCTGTTCATTTCTAACTTTATTTTATAAATTAATGTTACAGAGACCAGAAAGTATTTCCAGCTTTCATATTATCTCAGAAAAATTTAAAAGCTTGTTAGTCTCTTTCTTTGCATTCTAGAAGTAGAATATGTGGAACAGATCAATTCTAGAAAAATAAGTATCACCAAGATTTGCCCCCATAGATAGCATGGAATAAAACTTAAATAACTAGTTGCCATAAAATGGATACCTCTTTATCCCAGAGACATCTTTTCAAAAAACTATGATCCAGTTGCTCTTAACAGATGCATTCTACCAGATCTTTGAAGCAGATTATGATTTAGTGCTGTTGAACTGGGCAGGGCACAGAATGAAGGAAAGCTTCCAGATTCTTTGTCTAAAACAAGTATAACATTGAAAATTGACAATGTTTATAGAAAAAACAAAACAATAAGCCAGAGTTGTTTTGAATAATAATGCAAAAATCAAATCCTCAATAAAATATTTGCAAATTGACTCCAGCAACGTATTTTTAAAAACAAGCATTTGCCCAAATAGAGTTCATTCCAACAATATAAAATTGGTTCAAAATAAGGAACTCTGTTAGTATAACTGACCATACGAATGTAGGAGAAAACCCACATTATTGTGTTCTGAGATTTGAAAAACCTTTAGATAAAAATCAGTAATTATTCCTATTCAAGTGACAGCAAAATATGAGTAACTTGCTGAAAATATCTCTCAAATCAAAAGCTTTGCATTTTCATTGCATAGTTGGGGAAACACAATATTCCTATTATAAATTCATCGCTGTTACTGAACGTGGTGCTAGAAGTGCTAGTTGGCAGAAACAGATGCCTCAAATACTTGTGGAAAGTATGAATGATAACCCTGACAGCCCAGATTATTAATAATAATTCTTAGGTGTATGATTAAAAATAGGACAGCTGGCTAGCCATTTGGAAACATTTCAGAAGTTTGATGACTACACCCTCATTTCTAGACAAAAATTGTATGTGGACTAAATAGTTCATGTTAAAAAACTTAGCTGTAGTATTAGAAGATACAGAGACTGCATATGATCTCTCTCTAAACAACAGAGATAATTTTAAAATTCCCTTAGAGTAGGGAGGGACTTTTCTAACCAACATCAAAACTAGGATAAAAATTTGACTAAAAATTTGACTAAAAGTTCTACATTGAAAAATAAAGTCAAATAAACTTCAGTTTAGGACAAAACATTTGCAAAGTATGATGCACAAATGGGTAACTTCCTCTGCACACTTGTGCAAGGGTGTATGTACAGGGATGTTCTGGCAGTTTTAAGGTCAAAAGACTAGAAACAACCTAAACTTTGACCAGTAAGATACTAGTTTTAAAAATATGGACAATGCCTTTGAGAACTGTACGATTTTAAAGAATGAGTTAATTTGGATCTGTATGTACTTATATGGAAAGTACATTGAGATACAACAGTTCTTGCAGAGCAGGATATATATACACTATGCTCTCGTTTGTGTATTTTCAGAAGACTATACTAGCATATGTCTCATTTTTCTAGGATAGTCAACAGTTTAACAGCAAATGGTCTTTTGAGAGGGAGCTTGAGTTGGGAAGAAAATTTTTCATCATGTACCCTTTTATACTATTTAAATTTTGTACTTTCAGTTTTTTAAATTGTTATTAAAATTTCTCTCTTTGGCTTTAGTGGTGATATCTCTCCTCATTAGTCTGGGAAGCCCCATAAAAGAAGTACGAAGGGCTGCCATTCATTGTCTCCAGGCCCTCAGTGGAGTGGGGTCCCAGTTTCATCTGGTAATAGATCATTTGGTTCCTAAAGCAGAAGAGATCACCTCAGATGCCACCTATGTTGTTCAGGTAAACTTATCAGCAAAGAAATTGAGTGTGCACACATACCTGTATGTACACAAGAACAGTTTCCTCTTTTCTTTTTTATTTTATTTTTACTGTTCTTTTTTTTTTTTTGTATCATTAATATACAATCACATGAGCAACATTGTGGTTACTAGATTCCCCCCATTATCAAGTTCCCACCACATACCCCATTACAGTTACTGTCCATCAGCATGGTAAGATGCTACAGAGTCACTACTTGTCCTCTCTGTGCTATACTGCCTTCCCCGTGCTGCCCCCAACTACATTATGTGTACTCATTGTAATGCCCCTTATTTCCCTTCTCCCTCCCTTCCCACCCACCCTCCCCAGTCCTTTTGCACCTTTTCCTTTGGCAACCATTAGTCCATTCTTGGGTTCTGTGAGTTTGCTGCTGTTTTGTTCCTTCAGTTTTTACTTTGTTCTTACACTCCACAGATGAGTGAAATAATTTGGTACTTGGCTTTCTCCGCCTGACTTATTTCACTGAGCATAATACCCTTTATTTAGCTCCATCCAAGTTTCTTCTTTTCTTGACATTTTGTTGGGATTTTGATCGACTTTAAGTGACTAAATTCCAAAACTGATGTGTCAGTACCTGCACGTCTTTCTCCCACCACTTTTAGAAGATAACAGTAACACGTTTCAATTCTGCTCTCCTTTCATTGGCTAAAAGACCAGTATTTGGTGTTTAATAGAAAAGTAACGAGTATTAATACCCTTTCCTACTAAGGTTTCAAGGGAAAAAGGAAAAGTATAAGCCATGTCACATCTTTTGGGAAAGAATCTTCCATAATTAGTACATTTAACCTTTGTAGTCCCTTATTCCTTTTTTATGCAATTTTCTTTTTGGTATCCTAGGACTTTGCTACTTTGTTTGAGGAACTGCAAAGAGAAAAGAAACTGAAATCTCATCAAATGTTGTCTGAAACTTTGAAAAACCTACTTAATTGTGTATATAATAGCCCATCTTACATAGCAAAAGATTTGATGAAAGTACTTCAAGAAGTCAATGGTGAGGTATGTGCGGTTGAAGTAGATTGTACTTTTCTTGTGACCTTACTAAAAGTTATTTCAAATGCTTATGTATGAGAAAGACATTTGCAGGAGTTACATGTATATACTTAGAAGTGAAAATTTTGTTACTGTTTTGGGAGGGTGCATTGTTGAGGTGGAAAAAATGATACAGGACACAAAAAGCAAATACGGATGAGTATCTCTCCATTTTAATCCCCATCTAATCACTTGATTTTAAGTGAATTTCAAAATCACATCGGGAAAAACACTGAAGATGCACTGCTGAAAAAAACTGTTGGTTTGTGTCTATTCTTCACAAGGTAGTATGTTTGGACCACAGAGTCTGAACGTCCCAAAATCATTCACTCATTTTTAAAAGGTATGTGCTTATATATTTTTCTGGGGGGAAAAGCCTTAGCTTTCATTATGTTGCCAAGGACACTTGTAATAGAAAAGAGGTTATGAAACACTTGTTTACGTAATGCTATATGCCAGTCAGCAGAGAAAATGTTCCTCATCCTAGTATTCCAGAAACACCTCTCTGCTTCACTAGCCTGGGGTTGACTGCAGCCTGGAGAAATTAAATGGGTAAAATGGAGTGAGAACTGCTTATTATATTTTCCTGGTGGGAGCAAACAGATGGTATCTCAGTTCCGTGTCATCCCTGGTGTAGGTTAAACTAGGAGTTGGCAGTCTTGTTCTTTAAAGGACCAAACAGTGAATATTTTAGGCTCTGCGGGCCATACAGTCTCTGTTGGAGATACTCAGCACTACCTTTGTATTGTGGCCATAGACATATCTAAACACATGAGCACGGCTGTGTTTCAGTAAACAAAATGTACAAAAACAGATGTTCTGAATTTGGCTCACAAGCCATTATTTGCTGGCTCTTTGTTTGTTATTAAAGATTTCACCTACATAATTTATATTATACCAGTGGGAAACATTGTTTGGGAAAGTGTGCAGTGTTTTAGAGAGAGTTAAACTTCATAGCTTGAAATTTTAGTTTGTATTTCCTGTTTTTAAAAAGTCTTGGGACACACAAATTACTTCACTCATCTCTGAAGGATTTGGAGCTTTTGACTGTTACAGACTGAACTATCAGAGGAGACCTGAGTATTTAATGGGGTTAATAGCCATCCCCAGGTCCAGGAGATCATCTTTATTGAATTTTTTCTCCAGGCTAAGCTCCCAGTCTTCCAACCTAATATCTTCGGATGTCTTTGTTAAGCAAGCGACATGTATCACCATAAATAGCAATTAATAATTTTTCCAAATTTTAGATGGTACTTTCTCAGCTATTGCCAATGGTTGAACAACTATTAGAAAAGATCCAGAAGGAGCCCACAGCTGTCCTGAAAGATGAGGCCATTGTTTTGCATCTCATTCTGGGGAAATATAACGAATATTCAGCTCCTCTCTTACATAAAGACCCAAAGAGTCTAGATGTATTTATCAAAGCCTTGCACACAACAAGCGAACTTTGCACAGGAATATCGTCCATTCAGATTACAGCCCTTGAAAAGGTCAGTGAGTTCTTTGCGAAACCAAAGCATTTCACGCTTTTAAGCCCTTGTAATATTTTACTTGGAGAAGATAAAGTGGACTGGACATGTTTTAAAGGAACATGTATTTGACCTATTTTGCAAAACTGAATGGTGTACATGGGTGATTAAAAAGAATTGCACTTTAACTGACAAAATAGATAATAATTTTATATCATGAGAGAATGATACAGAGATCATTTTTGGAATTCAAATTTGTTTGTTGATCACAGTTGCCTTTTTTCTACCTCCTCTAGATTACAAAGCCATTTTTTGCCACTATAGCAGATGAAAAAATTCAGCAGAAACTTTTGCACATGTTGTTTGATTTGTTGGTGAACTGTAAAAATTCACATTGTGCTCAGACTGTTAGCAGTGTTTTTAAAGGGGTGAGTTGCATACTTTCTGTAATTTGTTTATGTTCTTTCTCTTTCAAGTAATATGTTAAAGCATCTCCTCCATTTTATGATGCTTTTAGGAAGTCAGATTTTACCACTAACAAGAATCTTGGAAAACTAGGTCATAGAAAAGTGCAATATCTTCATTATTTTTATTGTATGGAATAGTTACAGTTTTAACCAGGTAGGGTATGAGTCTTGGTTTGGATCTTAGTCATATTAGGTGGTTGTACTTGTCTTAAGCAAGGAATAGGAATGAGTAGTGACTTGATATTCAACTGGTAACAGGTTATTCTTAATTTAAATAGGTTAAATTTAGTTAAGCTATTTAACTAAATAAATACGTAATGGAATTGAGAATCTGCTCATTGATTTATATGTACAGCTGATTCAAATAATGCAGGCTTTAGGGGTCCTAATCCCCCATGTGGTTGAAAATCTGAGTATAACTTTTGACTCCCCAAAAACTTAACTACTGACGGCCCCTACTGTTGGCCAGAAACCTTACAATAACATAAACAGTTGATTAACACATACTTTGTAGTCAGTATGTATTATATAACGTATTCTTAAAGTAAGATAGAGAAAATGTTTTTTTAAATTGTTGTAGGTCTCCAATTTTCCACTGTATTTATTGAAAAAAGCCCATGTATACATGTCCCTATACAGTTCAAAGCTGTGTTCAAGGATCAACTGTATACTGAAACCTAGCTGTATATCAGAAAAACCACCTAGTTATTCTGTGTTTTGTTTTGTTGTGATTTTTAGGAAACAAGTTCACAAAAACAGATAATAGTAAAGTCCCAGTATCCAGATTCAATAGTTCTCAGAATTTTAACAAATTTCTAAAATACATTAAGTGAAACAAATTAAGTACAGAGCAGTGTATACTATGCTCTTATTTGTGTACTGTTTTGTTTTTACTCTTTATACAGCTGTTGGTTATGTAAATTTCCGAAAGACTACATAGGAAATAGTGGTGTTCGCCTCAGGCAGCTGGTCTGGCCTCTAGAGTCATAGGGAGGCAGAAAAGTGGACATAAATGTTTTCATTGTGTCTTTTTAAATAATATGTACTGCTCTAATTTAATCCCGTGGATTGTATCATCAGCCATTCTTCTTTCTATTTCAGATTTCTGTTAATGCTGAACAAGTCAGAATAGAGCTGGAGCCACCAGATAAAACTAAGTCCTTAGGCACAATTCAGCAAACAAGAAGGCAAAAAATGCAGCAGAAGTAAGGAATATGAATGCAGTGAGAACATACTGTTGTTCCCCAGGCCTTGAATATTAAAAAACTGTTGGTTTTTTTGATACCCAACAATTTGGCAAAATCAGATACGATAATTTTTACTTAGTATTGCTAGTGCTTGCTTTTCCAGTTTTTTATCTTATCTGTTTCCCAGAAAATCACAAGATCTGGAGTCCATTCAGGAAGTTGGAGATTCTTACTGGCAAAGAGTAACCCTCATCCTAGAATTACTGCAGCATAAAAAGAAACTTAAAAGTCCTCAGATTCTGATACCAACTCTTTTTAACCTGCTGTCGAGGTAATGACACTTGCCTCTGACCCCTGAGAGAACAGAATTCTAATTCTTGCACATCTTATTTTATTTAACTTTCTCTTTTCAACAGATTATCTTCTTGCTTATCTAGTCTATAAAACAGAGCAGGTTAAATACTGTGGTTGAAACATTAAAAAAAATGGTTTAGGTACCCATTGCTGGTCACCAAAAGTGACCTTTATTCTGTATTGTGTAGAAAATGACCACTCACCTTACAGCTCGCTTACTTTTGATACCATGTCCTTGGGGCATCATTACATGTATTTAAAGATACAGTGTGACACCCACTTTTTTTGGGGGGGTGTAAATCACTAGATAGAGAACTATGTCATTGAATTGTGGACATGTGCTTTCATCTGAAAAGCAAAGTAATTCTCAAGGTTGTCCTCTAATGTTCTAAACAGGTGGATGGAAAGCGCAATAGAGAAGGGAGGTAATGTGACACAAGTGCTTGCCTTTATGTACAAGTGAAGAGTTAGAAATCTTACCTCTTCTTGATAGACTTTATGCTGAATGCTTATATTGTAGTTACTGTAATTCAGTGTGTTCTGGACAGTGGTCACTAATGCATCAATGAAATAGTACAACTCTTTAATTTCCCATCATCTCCCTTCCTGGCATCCTGAAGGTGTTTAGAACCTTTGCCACCGGAGCAGGGAAATATGGAATACACCAAACAATTAATTCTAAGTTGTTTGCTCAACATCTGCCAGAAACTCTCTCCAGATGGCAGCAAAATACCAAAAGGTACGTACTTTTTGAAAGGAAAGCGTAGAAAAATTATCTACTGAGAGGATGAATGTCCCTCCCACTTACAGATCTTTTATTTCTCACCACTGTAGATGTTCTAGATGAGGAGAAGTTCAATGTGGAATTGATAGTCCAGTGCATCCGTGTTTCAGAGATGCCTCAGACCCACCACCATGCCCTTTTACTTTTGGGTACAGTTGCTGGAATATTCCCAGTAAGTACTAATGATTTGAGACTTCAGCAGATATTGCAGATACTTTCTTCCATGGAAATGCATAAGTACTCACTGGTTTGAATTCAGTGGACTTGAGGATCTCACACTGCTGGTGGGACTCTGCCCTCTCTTAATTAGCTGAGACAGTGCGAGCTGGCTGATTTTCCTAAAGATTTGGTTCCTCTTTTCATAAAGGGAATAACAGCATCCTTCTTCACAGGTTACTGTAAGGGTGCCATTGGGTAATTTAGGATTGGCACTTAGCATGGTGCCTGGCTCAGCATAGCTATCCAGTAGGTGGTAGCAGTAGTGTTATTTGGGAAATTACTATCTCATTACTTCTCAAACAGCTTTCAACCAATGACTTAAAGTTAATTCAATTATAAATTACCTCAAATTAGTCATGTCCCTTAGAGAAAGACATCATTTAAAGATTTTTGGAGAGACTGAAACTACCTTCATATTAGAGATTTTAGGTCAGAGATTCTCAACCTGAGGTCCTCCATGAGCTTTAGGGGGCCTCTTGATTCACTGAAATCATGTGCAAGATTTTATGTGTATAGGATTTTTCTTTTCTTGGAAGAGAGTGTCTCAAAAGGGTTGATAATCCAGAAACAATTATTAATATTTTTTCCTTTATTTTTATTGAAATATATTTTGTGTGCCATGAAATGCAACCATTTAAAGTGTACAAGTCAGAGGTTTTAGTATATTCAAAATGTTATATAACCATTGCCATTATCTACTTCCAGAAGACTTATGTCATCCCCCAAAGAGACCCTGTGCCCGTTAGCAGTCACTCCCCATTCCCTGTACCACCACAACCACTGCCACTGACAGCCACTAACCCAGTTTCCCTCTGTGGATTTACCTATTCTGGACATCTACAAATGGAATCATATCATATAAGGCTCTTTTTGTGTTCTGACTTCTTTTCACATGGCCTAATAGTTTCTGACTTTTTTCCCTTGGCATAATATTCCTCCCTGTGGCTGAATAATAGTCCATTGTATGGAGATACCACATTTTGTTTATCTGTTCATCAGCTGATGGACATTTAAGTTTTCACTTTCTAGCTATTATGAGTTACGCTGCTGTGGACATTCATTTGTGAGGCTTTGTGTGAGCATGTTTTCAGTTCTCTATGGTGTGTACCTGGGAGTGGGGTTACTGGGTCATAAGTTAACGTTAACTTTAACTTTCTAAGGAACTGCCAAGACTATTTTCCAAAACACCTGCACCATTTCGTACCCACCAGCAGTTATGAGCATTCTGATTCCTCCACATCCTTGCTGATGGTTGTTACTGTCTGTCTTTTATTAGTCATCCTGGTGGGTGCAGTGTCTTGTGATTTGGATTTTGCATTTCCCTAATGACTAATAATGTTGAGCATCTTTTTTTGTGCTAATTGACCATTTGTTTATCTTTGACCTTGCTCATTTTTACCGTGAGTTATTTCTCTTTATTGCTGAGTCATTGATATTTGATGTGTTTAAGATAGAAAATGTTGAAGGATTTATTTTCTTTCAGGATAAAGTTCTACACAATATCATGTCTATTTTTACATTTATGGGAGCCAATGTCATGCGTCTGGATGATACTTACAGCTTTCAAGTTATTAACAAGACAGTGAAAATGGTTATTCCTGCACTTATTCACGTAAGCTGTCTTTATACCATCATTAATAGTATTTTTTTAAGTTTTAAAATTTTACATGGTACGAAATTCAAGTAGAAGTAAACAAGACATTAAAAGCCTTTCTGCAATGCTCAGGTATTTGTGCCTCTTAAATTTTAGAATGGTGAAGTTAAGTAATCTTAGAAATAATGTCTTTTCCAAAAGCAAGAATAAACATTCATAGCTAGTTCTGCTGTACAGCCAAGTCAGCATTTTGCAAGCATCCTATAATATTTAAAGAGCTCAGATGAGTGAGATGTAGTCGCTGCCAGTAAGGAATGAACACATTGGAACTAAAAAGCAGCCTGGAGGATGTGAAAGAGCGTGGACATCTTGAGTTTTCTGTTTGCATCCACTTATCATTAATGTCTTTTCTCACATTATTTACCATTTCAGGGATGACCATATTCAACACTGTCTATTTTTAATTCAGTTGATGGTCTCTGTGTCCAACAAATTGGCAAGTACAGGGCACAGATTAAAAAAAAAAAAAACATGCATTAATGCCATATATGCCAATAAACTAGATAAATGTGAAGAGTTTAGAATAGGGGAAGGTCCTTATGGGCCAAACCAGTTATATAAGAAACAGAATTTGAACTGGTATGAAAGATGGATAGGATTTGCTCAGGGAAATGGCTGAGTCATCAATAGCATGCAAAAAGGCATGGCTTGGGAGTATACACAGTGTGTATGAAAAATGTTCTGTAGATTGATTTGGTGGAGAGTTGACACAGCTAGAAGTAGAGGGCATTAGTTTTTTCATTTATTCAAGTATTTATTCATTCTTTCATTCATTCATCAGCTATACTCAGAGCACAGTACCAGAGTAAAGTGATTTCAGCCTCTGAAAGCAGCAGGAAGTTGATGATCTTTCTGTACTCTATCTCAATTGTACCCATTCTTCTCGAGGCAAAACACAAATCCTGCTTGATTTGTACAACCTCTGAGATGGCCTGAGAGCAGACTTGTTATTGGTGCTACATATTTGTCACCTACCATTTAGTTCCTGCTTTTCTCTTTTTGCATGTGTGTCTTGTTCCAATACAGATGATAAATCTCCCACACTTTGGGGCAGGGCTCACGTCCCACACTTGATTACATTCCCCTCAGGGCCTAACAGTGCCTGGGCATAATTTGTACTCACAGGAGATCTACTGGTAGGTCTTTGATTATTAAAATTCTTTTGAGGGCTTTCTTGGGGCACATCCGAAGGCCTTTTTGCAACCACTTTATGCTTGCTTTGTGGAGGGTTGTATGCTCCTGCTCACCGTGCCTGCTTGCTGCTCTGCAGTCTGATGGAGACACTGTGGAAGTTACGAGAAACGTGGAAGAAGTCGCAATGAAAATCATCGGTGTATTTGTGGATGCACTGCCACATGTTCCCGAGCACAGGCGCCTGCCTGTCCTTGTCCAGCTTGTTGACACACTGGGTGCAGAAAGATTCCTCTGGGTTCTCCTCATCTTGCTTTTTGAACAATATGTCACTAAAACAGTGCTAACAGCTGCCTATGGAGAAAAGGTCAGAATATAGGGGGGCTGGTAAGACAGAAAGTGATGTTTCACCCAGATTGTGTGATGTTTTCCAGTTTAAATGTGGGGGCTAGTAATGCTTGATGGGCATTATTAAACAGTACTTGCTCAGAAGTGTCAGATGTGGTTTGACATTCTTCAGAATTGCTTTCAGAGCCTGTGGCACTGTGAGTCATCTGCTGTGGGGACTTGTTTACAAAACAGGCCTGGTGCCATACTGGGTTATTCTGTTTTAAGCCCAGCAGAATATGACTGTAAAGTGATTAAATTGTGTCTCTCGAAAGTGGTTTTAAGGGCATTTCATGAGGAAAGAGGAGTGTAGGCATTGTCGAAATCCTGAAGACACAGTGATTGTTTTGAAGAGCCCTTTTTGGATAGATGAGGGTCAGCATCTAGGTCCAGGACTGTTAAATGACTGACTTCTTAGACATGGGATCTAGGAACAGCTCTAGACCGTATTCAGTAGTATGTTCAGTTCTACCAGAAGTCATGATGCACGTGATTCTGGAATTACACCCTCAGCAATGTTCATATATTGACTTTTTTATGCAAGGAGCACAGTAACTCATTCATCTGCTTCTACCCATGACCATGAGGAACAATAGGTAGTACCTTTGCATGCTAAGGAATTTTTAAAACATTTCCCTTATTTCTGCTTATAAAGTAACATAAATTTGATAGGTATAGTTTTATTACCTTTTTCTGTTCTCTATATAGGATGCTATTTTAGAGGCAGACACTGAATTTTGGATTTCCGTCTGTTGTGAATTTGGTGTCCAGCATCAGATACAAAGCTTGATGAATATCCTCCAGTACTTAATAAAGCTGCCAGAGGAAAAAGAAGGTAGGCATAAATCAAGTGTTAATTACTATTTAATCTGAAATTCAAGAAAAAGAAAAGACAATGCAAGTTATACTTAGAAGTCATAGTGCCTCTTTAGAAGGATTCTTTAAGCTACTAATTTTTAATTTGAATATATAATTGTGTATATTCTCAGATCCATATGAGGAGTAATAAGTAGGATTTCCACTTGCCTTTTCTGTCTACTTGGCTCTTACACCTCTGTGCCTTTGCCCTGAGATGCTGGCTGTGGAGTGTTGGATCAATTATAGCAAAGTGACAGCAAGTTAGCAGGACCTTATCACCTCTCTCTTAGTTTTCCATTAAAATATCTGTTAAGACATTTACAAGAAGAAATAAAAGATAGTGGTAAAATTTTAAATTTTACCATATATGGGAGTCTTGAAGAAATTTCCAGTAATTGCAGCACCAGTGAGACTGGCTTAAAGGGTGGATAGGCTGAAGGTTCTTAGTTCTCTGCCCTTGGAAGCAGAAAAGCAAGGTGTATTAGAAAGAAGGTACAAAACACCTCCACAGGGACTGTTTCCCAAGTGGCCAGCTGCTTGTCCTGTCTTCTCTGCTTGGCCAGGAGGTGACTTGTCTCACCTATAGTGGGCTCAGGTTTGGCAAGGACAGACAAGGAAGGTTCCTGGAGAGCTGTATGTGGTGACATGCTTAAGGAAGAAGGCTTCATTTTTGAGGCACTCTTAGGACAGTGGTTTTCAAGTGGCCTACCATGGACTCCCAGCCACTACACTCCCAACCTTTTTATATTAGATAGATTTGAATATGGGATTCTACAGAGTTTTAGGACACACATCTTCAGACTTTCAGAATTAAGTGTTGAAGGCTGGACATGACTCATATCAGCCTACTGTGGGTCACCAAGTATAAATACCTCAGGCTTCAGAATCACATGTGGAGCCAGCATTTAAAGGCCCTATTGTAATTTTCGTGTCTTCCATTTACTTATGTCAGTTGCTCTGTTTTTGTTTTTGTCCTACACTATTCTCAGGGCTGTTGGTAACTTAGCATCACTGGGTTCACTATACAATTAACATCATTCACTAGTTTACAAGAGGAATAACTGGGTGAAACAGATTCACAAATTTCTTTCTGAAAATTGTATCCCATTTATCATGCTCATTATGTCTACACTAAATAGTCAGGTTGAAGATGAATGAGGTCACTTGTTTTGTTGCTCTTTTTCAGAAACCATTCCCAAAGCAGTCTCTAGTAAGAGTGAATCACAAGAAGACATGCTACAGATTTTTAACATAGAGACTCACACTAGCAAGCAACTACGGCATTTTAAATTTTTGTCAGTGTCCTTCATGTCTCAGCTCCTGGCTTCCAATAATTTTATCAGAAAGGTGATGTATTCTTTAAATGTGTTTATGACAAAATAATTTTGCTTTTCTGAAGGAACTATGTTTTATACTAGTAGAAATAGTTTGGCACATACCTCATGAAGATGTGGGGCATACCTTTAAAAAATAATAGAAAAAAATAATCCAGTTAACCGTGAAAAACCTGTGTGCTCTACTAAGGTTGTATATATATAAATCCTCTGACTCAGTAATTCCACTCTGAGTGGTATCAACCCAACAGAAATGTATGAACATATGAACCAGAAGATACCAGCAAGAATGTTCATGAGCACATGATTCATGGTTGCCCAGAACTGACAACAACCCAAGAGGCTGTCAGCATTGGAGTGGGAAAAGGTATCTGCCTCTGTAGGTGGATGCCCATGAACCTCCATGACATCTGATGAATCTCATATCATGTTGAAAAAGAAAGCAGACACAGAAAAACACATCCTGTGACTCCAGTTGTATAAAGTTCAGAAACAGGCAGAACAGATCTGGTTTTAGAAGTAAGGATAGTATTTGTCTTTGGGAAGAGGGGAAAGGTAGTAATAGGGGCCAAGAAGAAGAGGGATTCTGTGGTGCTGATAATACACTCTTTGTGCTGTACATTTGATTTGTGCACCTTTCTGTTTAATGTTAAACTTTAAACAAGAAGGAAATAGAAAAATAAAATGGAGAAAGAAAGAAATAATGAGAGAAAAAGAAGGATCAGGGTCATGACCAGGAACACAAGAGCGGTTTACCATTAGAGTATCTGTGTTATACATATGTTACAGTGCATGAACAGATCAAGAGGGGAAACCATATATGATATTTGAAATATTTACAGAGAAGTAATTCAGTAAATTCAATACTTACTTATGCTTCCATTTATCAGGCCATGGAAGATAAATGGGAGCTTCCATGGCCTGATAAATATACCTCTGAGAAACGAGTTTACATCATAATTCATGATGAGACAGAAAATCTGAATAGCAATGTCCTCTGTCATTGTTTCTATTCAGCAAAAGAAATGAAGCTTAAGAATCAGCAAATGCATAAAACTAGTAATTAGTTCAGCAAGCTCACTTATGGGGTCAGTGTAGATCCTGTTTTATATCAAGCAAGTTTGCCATGGGCAGTGGAGCTGCAAGAGCAATCAGAATGACCAGTGTGACTGAAGTCTAAGCCCAGACACACATGCACATGTAAGAAATGTGTTACATGGCAGGTGGCAAAACAAAGCAGTGGGAAAAGAGACCTGTCCAAGAACTAGAGCTTGCATGATTTTTCCATGTGAGGAAAAAGACTGATCTCACACTTACATACAAAAGAAAATTTTAGGTAGGTTAAAAACTTGTGTGAAAAGGAACACTTATAACTTTTGGAAGAAAATCAAGGGGAACATTGTGACCAGAGGATGGAAAATAATTTTTTTAAAACTTCGGTTCAGCAAAATGCCACCATAAACAAAATGAAAAGAAAGCCATAGGCTAAATCAAAAAGCATACGTTTCCATTAGATCAACTGACAAAGAACATGGATTCACTAAAGTTGAATCACAAATGGTCAGTGAATATACAACAGAACTTCCCTAGTAAGAAGGAAAATGGGGATTAAATGAGAGGCCACTATAATGTACATCAGATTAGTAAAAATTTTAAACTTGTCAACACCAAGAAGTGGCAGGGCAGTGGGGACTTGGTTGTTTGTGCATAGAGCATGGGTAGTGTGAGTCTCAGTACAACCACTTCAGGAAGCACTTAGCAGTGTCCAGTCGGGTTAAAGACCATCTATGATCTAACAGTTCCCATTCTCAGGTACATTCTCAGGTATACACACCTACCTAGATGCTCAAGAAAACAAGTAAAAATGTTCTTTTTTAACATTGTTGTAACAAAAAGTACATAAACTGAATGCTTACCAAAAGAGGTGAATGAATAAACAAGTTGTGGTATAGAGGAATACTGTGAACAGTTAAAATGAACTACACCAATGTAAATCACTACAGAGAGATCTCAAAAGTCTGGTATTACCAGAAAAGCATGTTGATGAATGATATATACTGTCTGATAACGTTTAACAGCAGAGGCAAGTTAGTAGGGCTAGGTAGTGGAGAACAGGATTAGGGAGCAGTGTATAGGGGACCGCAGCTGCATTCATAACTAACATCTTAAAATTAGCTATGAGCTAAGGGAAGATTAGCATTTCATTAAAGCAGTGGGTAAAATGAGTGTGGGTTGCTTGCCGTATTTTTCTGAATCTTTGTAGTACTTTACAGATTTATAAATACCTCTAGACTAATGAAAATGGAATAGAATGTAATTAAGGTAAATAGTTATTACAGAATAGTGGCGATGATCTGAACCTGGCAAATTGTAACATCAGAAAACAGTCACTGGGAAGTTTGAGTTGAACAATCTTAGATGAGTTTCATTGAGCCTGTTGAAATGGTTGTTTTATTACTAGTTTCCATACTGTTCTAATGATGCCTTCTTTTAAAAGTAGGTAGTTGAAAGTGGTGGTCCTCAGGTTTTAAAAGGCCTTGAACAGAGGTATGTTACTTTCCTCCTTTGAGTTTTTATTTGGCAGTAACTTCAACCTTCTTCTCAAAAAGCTGGAAAAGTAGTACGCAAAACTCTTATACAAGTCTCCTGTGTTTTAGGTTGTTAGAAACAGTTCTTGGCTATATTAATACTGTAGCACAGTCTGTGGAGAAAAATGAAGACAAACTAACTGTGAAGTTTTGGCGAGCACTACTCAGTAAAGCTTATGACATGTTGGATAAGGTAGGTTTTCATGTCTCCCTGCTACTGTGTTTTGTTGCCATTTTTATGTCACTGTAAGGCCATATTTGTGTCATTCTGAAACAAAGTTTTACTTTGAAAATAAACTTATCAGTAGCTTCTCTTAATATAATGCTCAGATTTTTCTTGGAAAAGATTCTCTTGATGACTAGAAATAAATCTGTCTGATAGTTATTTCCCTACCAATTATGAGAATGTGTACCTCAAATACAATGCTTTGAATATTCAGTCATTTACTACTATATAATGTTTCACTAATTCAAATGGAATAAGGAAAATTACCTATTAGGCAGAGTATGTGGTACATTAGAAATGTCACTGGCCTGGACATTAGGATCACTGTTCAAAATCTAGCCAAATTAGGTATATGTCATTGAGCAATTCAGTTACTCTTAGCATCAGTTTTCTTATTGTTTGTTTTTAATAAATGTGATTAGTAATGACGCTGAAGGGTTAGTGTAAGAAGTAAATAAGAAAATGTGTATGAAAATCCCTGGTGCCTAGAAGGTATACACTGAGTGAAAGTCTATCTTAATCTGAGTCCACCTTCCCTTTTTTAACTTTTTTTGTTAAAACTGCTCTATAGGTCAATGCCTTGCTGCCCCCAGAAACATTCATTTCTGTGATCAAAGGGCTGCTGGGTAACCCACTGCCATCTGTTCGCCGGAAAGCATTGGATCTTTTGAACAACAAGCTACAGCAGAATACACCCTGGAAAAAGAAAATCGTAAGTGAAGAGTGTATATCAGACACATTTACCATTTTTTGCTCTATCAAAGAGCAGCATTTAACTCCCTTCAGTTTGTCCAGCAATACAATTTAAGTTGGCATATTATTGTCTAAACATAATGCTGTGACATATGTTTAAAATGTGCTATTAATTCTAATAGTATATATATGAGTTTAGAATGGAATTTCAGCTTAATGGAATTCTTGCTTAATATAAAAACCATGCATTGCCTTAGCTTTAGCATAATTCTAATTCTCTTTTACTGTAAAACAATAGGATGCTTTCTTTAAGTCAGAAATTTGGTCACCAGCACATGCACTGGCTTAGCAGTAGGTAAAGCAGATGGAGAAACAGCTGCTTGTGTATAGTTGTGTGGATTAGGACCTCTTGGTTTAATTTCCATTTAGTCTCAAGCAGTACCAAAGGAAAAATCAGTTAGTATTTTTTTTTTTGCAGCTTTAATTATTTGGGAATTTGGCTATCCCCTTCAGGTTTATCGTTTCCTAAAACTGGTTCCAGTCCTTTTGGCCATTGTGCAGCATAAAAAAAAGGCGATAGAAGAACAAGCAATAAACAGACAAACAGCTTTGTATACCCTAAAACTTTTATGCAAGAATTTTGGTGCCAAAAATCCAGAGCATTTTGTCTCAGTGCTGAACACCACAGTGAAACTGATTGCTCCAAAATCAAAAGAAGAGAAAAATGTCTTGGGAAGTGCCCTGCTGTGTGTAGCAGAGGTGACTGCTACCCTCGAAGTACTGGCCATCCCTCAGCTTTCCAGGTATGCTGACTAGGACCTGGAAGAGGAACCATTACCTAGGGTTTCTGGTACAAATTGAAAAATCCTATCTTAGTAACCTTTCTGTAAGTAGCAGTAACATAAAATCAAATTTCTTAAAAAACTGATCTTTTCTTCAAACTGAAGGAACATTCTCATTTACCTTTACCATATTTACTATCCCTTAATTTTTGCTTCCCTTTGACCATTGTAAATAGGAAGCAATAGGTGAAGCTCCTTTCTCTACAGGCCCACCCAGTAGAGCAAAAGCTGCCTCCTGCTACCACATTCAGAAGTGGGATGCTTCTGACTCTTCTTGGCTTTGGTGTTTACCAGCTGTGTAGCCTGGGCAGGTTACTTAGCCTGTTTGAACAACTGAGACAGTATCTACCTCATGGAATTCCCATGGGGGGAGTGCTTGTAAGGCTTTTTGCACAGTGCCTGACACACAGCAAGTGTTAAATTTTGAAAGATGTTTTTTAAAATGACTGTTACGTCAGTGCTGTAGGCCCTGGGGGATTTCTCGCTCTAGTCACATAATCTGCAGACAGCGTTTTGTAGGCTGGGACATGAGCACAGATGTTGGAATTTTTTCATAATGACTTCTATTCCATTCTCCATTCTTTCTTGCTGCTTAGTTACTCTAGAACTCATGTTCTTTATTTCTAGCCTGATGCCATCACTGCTGGCAACAATGAAAAATACCAGCGAGCAGGTCTCTGGAGAAGTCTACTTGCTCAGTGCTTTGGCAGCTGTGCAGAAGGTTGTTGAGACTCTCCCACACTTCATCAGCCCCTACCTCGAAGGTGTTCTGTCACAGGTGAGCCACAGTGGCCACAACATGCTGTTTGTGGTGGTGGAGAAAGGGACAAATGACAGACGTAATAAATTTATTTGTACTTTCAGTTTTTAGTGTCTGTTATGTGCCTCTTTCTTTCCCATTGTCCCTCCTGCTTAATCATGCACTCATATGGGTATCACCTTGTCATAAAACGCTATGATGCAGATGATTCAATTGATTCACATACTCCCCCCAAAGGGCTTGAAACTAGACTTCTTACAGAAAAGGATTCGACATCTGAGGAGCTTCCTAGATTTTTTTAGGAAGAATTTGATTTGACACTTCCCAGAGTCCCTGAATTACTGTCCTCTAAAAAAATTTTCAGCCTGAGTGCTCCATGTCCTTCTGCTTTCCACCATTAATCTGCATCCCTGACTCTAGTTGGAAAAGGGGCATCTGTCCATTTTACCTACAATGTTCAGGTTGGCTTTAAAAGGAGTTGTGTAAAGTTGAAGTGGGCTGGGCTTTTCCCAGTTTATAACATTTGGATTGGTTTCTCAGCTCATCTCTGTGACTCCCTGCAAGTGTGTAGACGTTCTGTGAGTACCTGTAATGGTCTTCCGTCTCTTTCATACTCCTCTAGGTGGTTCATTTGGAGAAAGTCACCAGTGAAATGGGTTCTGCCTTACAAGCTAATGTTCATCTCACATCTCTAAAAAAGACACTGGCCACCACTCTCTCACCTCGAGTCTTACTGCCAGCCATCAACAAAACGTACAGGCATATTGAGAACTGGAAGGTTAGATTCTGTTGGGTGTTAGACTTTGGAGAAGGGAGATGTGGTACTGAAATTTAATACTTTTTACTTTAAGAATATGGTTATTTAATTCCTTTACAAACTCATTAATAAACTCTAGGAATATTAAAAACTGACATATCTCTTTACTGGTTGCTGTAGAATCATATGGGTCCATTTATGAGCATTCTGCAAGAGCACCTGGGGGTGATGAAGAAGGAAGAGCTCAGCTCCCATCAGCCTCAGCTCACTGCGTTCTTCCTGGAGGCCCTGGACTTTCGCGCACAGCACCCTGAGGTGTGTACCCAGACCCTAAACCGTCTGCCTGTTGAAAGGCTAGACAGAAATCTGCATGACCTGATAACCTGTAGGATTTGCCAAAATTACTAAGAGATAGATGTCAGCACTCTGGCTAATAAATCAGTTCTTTGTTTACAGGATGATCTCGAGGAAATTGGAAAAACAGAAAATTTTATCATTGACTGTCTAGTAACCATGGTTGTGAAACTTTCTGAAGTGACATTCAGACCTCTGTTCTTCAAGGTAAGCTTTCTTCTTCCACATGTCCTTTGTCCTCTATACAAAGTTATAAGATATATAGAAGAAACTAATATGACTTTATCTTTTTAGCTGTTTGATTGGGCTAAAACAGAGGATGCCCCAAAGGACAGACTATTGACATTTTATAACTTGGCAGATTGCATTGCTGAAAAACTGAAAGGGCTTTTTACTCTGTTTGCTGGCCACTTAGTGAAGCCTTTTGCTGACACCTTGAACCAGGTGAACATCTCCAAAACAGGTTGGTAGCTGACTCCAGTTGACACCCTTGTTCTTTGTACATCACACAAAGTACAGGCAGCATAGGGGGGTGAATTTTTTACTTCATACTCCATTGTCAGGCACTGACGTATTTTTTTAGCATAACGAAATCATGTTATTAATTAATTGACTCACTTGCGAGGATAGACATCACTGTAAGTTACTGGAAATAACTAAAATATAAAAATTAAGATTGGTTTATTCTTTAATGCTAATAAGCAGTCCACTTGACAACTTGTCATTTAAGCAGTCTTAACAATTCTTAAAGAAGGAATTGCTTATGTGTGACACCCATCATTTTGTGTTGTACCTTCATCCTGATTATGATTTCCAGGTCATTTTAGAAATGATTCTGATTTTAGTGTTTAAATAGTAATTTAAACAGTGGAGATAAAATTTGTGAAATTCAGGTTTCTTCATCTTTACTCTCCCCTATTTACAGATGAAGTGTTTTTCGACTCTGAAAATGACCCTGAAAAATGCTGCTTGCTGTTACAGTTTGTTTTGAATTGTTTATATAAAATCTTCCTTTTTGACACCCAGCATTTTGTAAGTAAAGAGAGAGCAGAAGCCTTGATGATGCCCCTGGTGGATCAGGTAACCAGATAGAACCATCTTTTGTTAAAGATGAGGAAGCCATTGCTGCTAAAGCTTTATAGGTTTTATATCTACCAAAATGACAGCCTGCTGGGCTTTTTCTTTCTCCAGGTCTTTGTTTGTTCCTGTTTTTTTGTTTTTTTCCCTGTTCTACAAAATTTATTACTTTTTAGTATGCACTGAGTTTTACTTTGGAATTTTTCAAATGAAAGGTCTAATGGTTAAATTTTCAATTTTTTAAAACTGGATTTGCTGAGAATATTTCAGGGCTTGTCTGTCCTCTAGAAGAACTCTTAAGATGTCCTGCTAGAGGAAAAAGGGTAATGCTAAAGGCTGTGAGATTCCGTTTGGATTCCACAAGGTGGTAAATTTGTTTTAGAGAGGTTGTTAGAATAACCTCTGGATTTTGAGCCCACTAGTATCATGAAGGATAGTAAATACTATTTATACACTGGGTATTTTTCATACAAAACTACAACCTGTTGTTGAAAGTCCTTGTCTCATTTACTCTTAATAGCTAGAAAACAGGCTTGGAGGAGAAGAGAAGTTCCAGGAACGGGTGACGAAGCACCTAATACCATGCATTGCACAGTTTTCAGTGGCCATGGCAGATGACTCTCTTTGGAAACCACTGAACTACCAGATTCTTCTAAAGATGAGAGACTCTTCTGCCAAGGTTAGGAGCTGCATTTGACAAGCTCTGATGCTGTGCATCTTCACCGTGTAGCCTAGCAGCCTTAAAGCAGTCCTGGTGTAGGACCATGGCAAGCCAGCAAGGACAACTGCTGCTTATCTTCTGGGACTAGGGGCTGGGCTGTGTTTGGGAGAAGTTTGAGCCTGAGAAAATTTTGGGTTTTATTTATAGGTTATTTGTAGATAATAGGAGTTCCCTTACCACCATGGTGTGTTTGACACAATACTAAATATTACTAAATACACAATGCTACAATACATTCTAAATGCTTTTAAGCACCATTGAAATGTCACCGTGCTCCCAGATGAATGCTTTCAGTGTCACAGAACTTTTTCACATTAGAGCAGTACATCATCTCTGTTTCATGTTTTAGGCTTAGGATTTTGTGAAATAATACAAAGTAAGTGGGGGTAGCTGACGCCCATTAACTTGGGGGAGGGTGAATAGAAGTTCCGTACATGAGTATCAAGATTTCAAACTCCTCTAGCAGAGAAGCCATTTCTCAACTAATCATCATACTGGAAGCTCGGTGGATAAAACAGACCAGAGCAGACTTGTACTATTAGGTTTATTAGTTGAAATTTATAACATTAGTAAATACGAGAACGAGGTTATTTTGATGGAGCCCCAATTTTTAAATCGTAGGTTCTTAGAAAGTTGCAGAATTAAAGAACTCCACCAAATCCAAATATTCTTCAAATTATCCAAAACCAGAGAGGACTAGTAAATTACCTGCTAACAACTGTTTTATCTAAACACCTGTATGCATTACTTGGCATAGAAAAGACATGTGAGAAACACCCAAAACTTTTTTTAAGGTCCAAAATGAGGATATGGTGACACACAGTTTTTCTTCTTCAGAGCTGGGGTGAGAGTGTGACCAGAGCCAGTGCCCTGGCCCCTCACACAGCCATAGTGGTGACCAGGCAGGTGTCCTGCCTGCAATGGCTGAAGACATCTTTGTGCAGACAGATGGCATCATCTGTCAGCCAGGTGAGCTGTGAGCTCCAGTGTAGTTGGATTCGAAGACATACATGAGTTTGCATGTGGCTTTCTTTTTAGGAAAATACCATAAAAAGACATTCACATTAAAGACCTGCAGTACTGGAACACAGTTTGAAAAACTGATTATATAAAGTTGCCCATATTGTAAACAGATCCCAAATTGTTAAATAAACTAGTATTCTAAGGTGAAAGTTGAATGAATGGATATAAAATAAACTCTAGTGAAGTAACACTTAAAGAGAGCTTGTCTCAAGTCAGATCTTAAGTTAATAAATGAAGCAATACTAGTTTTTTTTAATTGTGTACCTTTTTATCCCTTTCAGGTTCGATTTGCTGCTTTGATCACTGTGTTAGCACTGGCTGAAAAACTAAAGGAGAATTATATTGTCTTGCTACCAGAATCCATTCCTTTCTTAGCTGAATTGATGGAAGGTAATTCCCAAACTACTAAGTACAGTAAAATTCTGTGAAAATGTGCCCACTGATAATGCAGATTTGGATGTAATGTGATTAGCCCCAGGTGCCAGTCCTCTATCTCGCCCCCCATCTCATATGTAAACTTGGGAGGCTGAGTTTGTATTTTGAATCGGGTGGAGGGAAGAGGGCATTAGGAAGGGACCACCTCACCATCACTTGAGACCAGTGTAATATTCAGTCTTTGTTTTTACGTTTTTTTGTGATAGTGCAGACTATAATATTGTTTTTCATTAACCTCCTATGTTTATATGGTTGAATATTTTGGCCCCCAGCAGTGGGGTTATTTTATCAAAATATCTGATGCCATTGAGGATGCAATAGGGTAGCTGCCTGTAAGTATGACCAGCTTTTACTTCCTGCTCCACATGGATGATCTCATTTAATCCTTATGACCGGGTATTTGCCATTATCCCTGTTTTATACAGGAAGAAACTAGAGGCTTTAAAAGGACTAAGTAATTTGATAAACAGTGAGTGTGACAGGTGGAACTGGGTGAAGCCCAGCTTGTGAGGTCTGGACGGCAGTTAATAGTGTGCCACCATAAAACCCTAGAAATAATGGTGCCTCTACCATCAAGCAGGGGAGATGGAGGCAAGCAGATACTTTCATACTGCTGCTTATCCAAAACATTCACCTTGCTTCTTATGTCTTGAAAAGGAAACAAAAAAGAGTACCACTAGCCAAGGCTGTGGCAAAGGCATAACTTGGAAACTTAAGTTGGAGTACTATAAAATCTGCAGATAAAATTGGCACCATGTGCCATCTGTAAAGAAAATAAAAAAGAGTGCCACTCCTAGGAATTTGGGGATTTCATTTATATACTGCTATGTTAAGGTACTATCTTATTCAGCTTCCAAGGCTAAAATTATAAGAAGGGAATGAAGGCAAGGAAGAGTGTGGTAGAAGCAGTCCATGATGTTGCTTCATTATTGCACTTCATTTCTCTTTTGATGAAATGATAGAGAATGCAAGATATGAATAATTAGGCTAATGATGAGGAAGATTAATTTTTTTTTTTTTTAGATGAATGTGAAGAAGTAGAACATCAGTGCCAAAAGACTATTCAGCAACTGGAAGCTATACTAGGAGAGCCACTCCAGAGCTACTTCTGAAACTTCAGGGTTTTTTGGTGTTTCATATTCTGTTCAGAGTTCAATTTTTAATACATTTTTTTTTGGATGTTTGGTACCATGTTACTTTTGGTACCTTAACACCCACTTGGACTTCTTCCCAAAATTCCCACCTGGTTCATGCTACCACATAAGCCTCTCTGCCAGTTGTATAGAACTGCAAAAAGAGTAAAATATACATGGTATTTTTATACAGACTGCTGTGTTTGTTTAATCTTTTCTAATTGATATTATTACAGGCATGTTTAATATTATCAGTACCCAAAGCTAACTATAAAGCCATAAACTCCTGTAAAGGAATGGCTTATGTATATGGTGTGGCATCCATGTCAGATTATTCATTCAAAGTAGCTCTTCAAGATGATTGATTCAGCACTCAACAAGTATGCTTTTGACTGTAAAGCCATTTGGATTTTTATTCTCCATTTTGGATAGATGGTAGTTCAGCCTTAATTTTTATATGTGCCCATAGAGACAAATAGTTCTGGAATACATTTTTAACTCAAGACTATGATTGATGTCTCCTTTATCTTCAGTCTTTTGGGGGGCAGAGCGGGTGGGCTGTTTATAAAATGATCTACACCTGCTGATTCCTGAGATAGCAAGGGCCCAGAAACACTAGGTGGCATGAAGGAGCCCCTTCAGGATTAGAAATGATCACATTTCCATTGGTGGTTAACCAAAGAATTAATTGTATGAGAAAGTAACCGATTTTTTTTTAAGCTTTGAAGTTATCGAGTCTCTCCACTGTGTCATGGTGAAGCTGGAAAGTGAGGGCACAAAGCTGGAAAGCAAACTCACCTCTATTTTATTTATGCCCTTTTATTAAAGGCATCTAAGGACTGTCCCATGCAAAGTTCAAATTTACTTTGAAAATCTTTGACCCAGTTAATAGAAATTTAGTGCAGATTTATGCCAGAAGCAAAAGGCTGATATGCAGTCTTATAGATTAAAGCCTGCATCTTGAAGATGAATGAACACTAATAGCTTCTTTTCGAAAACTGTTAAGATACTGTATTCTACAAAAGAATCAGCTTAGGTCTTAGTAATACCTCCATGTAAAACAAAAATTAACATGAACTACAACTGATAAGAATTAGAAGTAATGTAAGTGGGCTTTTACTTTTTCCTAAGTGGCCTGCAGACTCCAGCATCTCAGTCATGCTCTCTGATGTTCTTTAATGAAAGAAAAATAAAACCTGATTATTAGGGATTCTAGAGCTTCTTGCCTTCTATAACTTTGCCAAACACCACCCGCCTACCCCCCTGCTCTCCCAAAAAGCACACAGTTCTTTTTAGCTTGGCAAGACTCAATCAGCACAAATGAACATGAAAAGGTAGAAAAGAATTAAGCACTAGAGGCTTTTATGCTGAGTACTTTTTTAAAAATTAAGATTAGTTAACAGTATTCTTTTCAGCATATGACTAGAAATAATATCTGACCAGAATCTGTTAGGAAAATATTCCTAAATCCTGGCAGAATTCAGCCCAGCAATTTAATACAATAAAATTATCTGACTGATTTAGCTTTTTACCTTATTCCCAAACCTTTGAAATTTCCTGTAACAAGATCTGACCTGTGAGAATTCTACAAAGAACTTTCTGCCAACTCACTTCAAAGAATAATGGGAAAAAATTACAGAAATGCAACATTTGACTTGCTGACACAGGTTTGATTTTAATCACTTAAAGCGGAACAACGTTTTGATCTCAAGTCACTAATGATGATGGACTAATCTTCAGAAGAGCAAAAAGGTGGTGTTGATTTACATGCAAACAACAGATTTTTATATTGCCTCTCTATTTCATTAGTCTGGTTATATTTTAATTTTCTGATAGTGCCTATTTTATAAACAGTCATTAATCTTGATACTGCCAATTACCCATAAACATTTTACAAATTAAACTCACCTTCTACCAAAAACTTTGTACAGGAGTATGAGCAGACCTTTTACTTACCCTAAATTCATATATTCTAAAATAAGTACTTACTGGTATAGAAATCTGTGACCTTGGGATTGACCTCAAGTTCATTTAAACACCATTTGTTTTTGTTTTGTTTCTTGCCTTAATCTTTGTGTTATGTTCTGATTTCATGACATTAATTATTTGATAATGCTTAACAGCTAACAGAGCTACGTATTCTGCTGAAGAAAATTGCCAGATATAAGTCAACATCAATCTTTTCAATTACAGAGTATGAAAGAACATTGGTTATGAAAGCCATTGCTGGAGAAATAATAATGTCTTCTCTAAATTAGTCTCTAGGTGATTTAATAGCTGAGTAATTCTTCTAAGCATCTGGTGAATTTATATGTGATACTGTAGGAATCAGTGGCACAATGGCAGAGCACAGGAGATTCTGAGCTCCAGGACAGGACAGAGAGAACTGTTTTATGCACTCCTGTGTGTGTGTATCCCTAGCTCCCAGCGCAGTGCTAGCAAAAACATAAGTGCTCAGTGTGTGTTAGCTATATTACACAGTAGGCTTATTACACTTAATAAGTACTTGTTGAATGTGAAGGTCATTTAAAAAGACAGCAGAAAGGCCTTAATAATGACTATAAGTTGCTGTTGCCTGAAATTCCTTTCTGTGCTGGACTGCATGGGAAGTACTGAGAATACCCAGTAGAACTTAATGTTATACAAGCTCATTTAACAATATATAGAAACAATATAATGATAGATACCTTGTAACAAGGGCAGTGTTACATAAGCCATTTTATATTTCAGTTTTTGTAGCAGTCAGTCAGCTACCAGCTCCTCACTTCCAGTAAGTGGATATCTCCATCAATTTCCAGCGTGTCAATATTGCTAAGCTCTTTAAATCTGTGTTTATACTCCAGGCTGTGTACACCATTTACTGCAATCTTGAATTCTCTAACATCACAGTAAATTATCATCTGGAAGGAAAGTACACACACCATTAGTGGTTCCCCTTGGTTTAAAATAGATTGTTTCTCCATATTCATAGTGTCAAAAAGCAAACCATTTGGTTCACTTTATACACAGAGAAGTTCTCCCAGCCTGCTGCTAATAGCTCCCCTTCTGTGATTTCTAAGACCCTAATCTAAAATGTGTCTGGTACTGGCACCATCTGTCTTGTCCCATGCAGGGGAGTGACTCAACATGCTTGGAACCTCACACTGTCCCAGGCCTGGCTGGCCTTCCTTTCCCCCGCACTCTCTTCTGCAGCAGTCCAGCCCCTGGGGAAGTGGAAAGTTGCCCCTCATCACCAAGGTTTGGAACTCCAGCGAAGGAAGAAAACTGCTGATGTCTTAAATGTCATTCATGGAGGAGCTGACTCCAACTAATAGGCTGGGTACCGAGGGACTTGGATTCTGACTTTTCTGCCTCAAACTCCAGGATCTTTGACAAGTCAGACAATATGAAATTTCAGTTTAGGGTACTTGCTAGGGATTGCACAGCTGCTTGGTGACCCTAATTTCCATTCCATCTCAGCACATCTTGGCTCCTATTTTTTTCAAAAGTTCTTCAAAGTTCAGTATGATTCTATGGAGTAATTAGCATTCTGAGAGACTCAGTTCAGATTTGTCACTGGCATTAGCCTTCAAAGTTGTCTTTGTCTAAAACTCCAGTGAAAAATAAACTGTTCTTTTAAATCACTTTCAGACCTAAACCTCTTATTTCTGATACCACTTTCCCACTGCCAGTCTGGCCACAATTCTACCACGTTTTCCACCCACACGGAAAGGCCATTTGGGTGAGCCTGTGCTGTGCTCCCGTGCTTCTGGCCTCTGTATCAGGGTTTCAGAAGAGCAGAGGGGAGCAGCACAGCCTTGCTGCTGACCTGGCTGCCTCCTGAGGCGAGACTAAGGCACAAAATCGGGATCTGCAGAGAGAAGCAAACTGAGTCTCTTGGTTCTTTCAATAGGACTTGTGGAAATGGCTGCTGGGGGGAACTAGGAGAGGGGAAATTCCATGATAACACAGCTGACAGAAATGAAGGCTCTAGGACTACATGGAGAACTGGGGAAAATGTCCATAATCAGATTCTTTCCCCACAATAATGGTGGAAATCCCAATAATAAACATTTCACAAAATCTGAAGAGAACATAAACAGCCTCATGCTCAGAAGGGAAAATAAGTAGCCTCGGATGCAGTGGAAAAAGACAATTTGTTAGTCAATTAGTCAAATATTAGTCAATATTTTATTAGAGCCAAAGCATTACAAACAAATAGAAAAGAAAGGGCTTGCAGTTAGGTAAACACGCTATTGCAGAACAGAAGAAAAGTAAATACCATTCAAAATAAAGACCCCCAGAGCCTAGAAGAATGGAACAAAAATCCCTCACAACCACCAGACGTTACAGAATACCTGGTAACATGAATTTTTATTAAAAGAAGAGCTCACGAAACCATAAAACTGAAAGATACTTTTTTAAAAGGCTGTAGTTGAATCAATAAATGCATTTGAAATGGCAAGGCACAGAAGATACAGTTTAAAATCAAAGTAGTGGTATAATGGGAAGATCAGAGAATCTCTGTATTTAAGAGGCAGGAGTTTGAAGCAATTGGAAAAAAATCTATCACTACAGAAAACTGACAACAGTGTTCCTACACAAGGATAACTACTGTCCCCAAAGTAGAAAACTAACGAAAGGAAAAATGATTATTTAAAAGGATTTATTTCCCTTTATAATTGTAATACAGGAGCTCCAACTGGGGCTCAGTTCAAGAAACAAGTTATATCACTGGTTTCCCATCACCAACCACAAAGTTCAACTTCACCTCTTCTGTCCCTCCATGAACCCCAAGTCACCCTTTCTACTCTGACTCCTGCCAGTCAACAAAACCTTGTGCTGCCCTTCCCACCTCCATTATCCCCTAAATCTGGAAAACCCAATTTTACCTTCAACCTCCCACATCATTCTGAATATAAACCAATATCCACAACTTCCAGGGAACCTTCTATGATTAGCTCACATGCATGTTACTCCACATACCAGGGCACAGCATTAAGACTGGAACTTACAAATAAGTATAATAGTCAAACACCCAAGTTCTATTCAGCTTTGATGTCCATGCTTTTAACAGCTAGTTTTTATTAGTCCTTGAGAACTAAAATGGGCCAGCTCATGTGACAGTTTAAAATGCAGAAGTGTGACCTAAAATCAATAATCCTAAATAACTATGTGAGGCAGTGTCACCTAAGCTGAAAATCAATAATCCTAAATAACTATGTGAGGCAGTGTCACCTAAGCTGGTGAGTGAACCTAGCCAACCACCCAGCATCCACATGTCAGGGAAACTTCATTCTCTGCTCAGTGTCACAGAAACATATTTTGGGAAATATTATATTATAATAGTTGTATATCATATGAATCTCTCCATAATCCCAATATATCATAAAACTAGGGACTCATAACTACATCACACCTTCAAGTTCCAAATATCTAAGCACACTTTCCTTGAGGTCTAACTCTTTGGAAGAACAGACTGCCACCTGAAGCTGTGTATAACCAAGGTGGGGTATGATGGACAGTGAAGTCAGTTTCCTGGTTGCTATATACTCATGTTCACTTAGGATTAACATGTTACTCCAGTTCTGAGTCTAGAACCTTAACTAATAGGGCCTACACAGTAATTTTCAATATAACAACAAATGTCAAATAATTCCAATGCAAATAATGTGATATTCTACTGGCTTTAACATTTATATTAACTGTGTAAAGGGAGGCATTCAAAATAAAAACACCAAAGAAACCAAAACCAACATAATCTCCACATACTAAATCTTTATTTAAATGGACCATTTATCCTACTCCCACTTTCAGGATTCTTTTTCCTGTCCCATTTTCAAAAAAGATAATCTCACCTCAAAGTACATCCTTGGACTAAATGGGAAATATGTAATATTTCTCTCTTCTTCTCCCCAGGCATCCTGAAGAAAAGAATTTCTTACAAATGCTTTAATATTCAGGCGTGGATTCAAGTGGAGAGCAATCTCCTTTGTTTTTCCAGACATTAGATCAACACTAAAGCTTTTGAGAGAAAAAAAAAACAAATAAGAGAGAGTAGCACAGTTTCTACAATTTTAACAGTCAGAATTGAACTCTGATTGTAACTACACAAAACATAGCACATAAAAGGAATTCAGATGAAGGTCAAATCTTAAACTCTTGAGTTAGCAGTCCATTGATAAAACTATGTTACTTCCAAAATAAAAATACAAAAACTTTTAAATCAATGTTGAAGCTACAGATATGGTTGAGAAGAAACTGAAGAATTAGAGCAAATAAACCAAATGATTACTTCCAGCTGCGCGAATATGGGATTCTTTCAAGCAAGTATTCTAATATCTACATGTTTTTTCTTAAGAGTGTACTGCTATCTAGGTAACAGCTCTAATTTCAAGCTTTTGTAAGTCTGAACATCTCTGGAGAAGGTTACTAAAGCAGAAATTTCTAAGTCAAATGACAAGGGGCCCTAATAAGTTACCTGCTCTCACAGGGCTGTCCTGGAGTTCTACAAGGCAAGGGCATGCCAAGGACAAAATGCCACCCTTCGTGTGGCCATAAAAAGCTGAGGGCAGAACATTGGAATTTAGTGCTGGTTATGCTACTGGCTGGTCTTGCATTTAAACTCTCACCTTTCAAATAAGGCTTATGACACAAGGCCTACTTAAATTTCACAAGGCTGTTATGGGGCATAAGGCAATACATGTGGAAAGCATGCACACTATTATTAATGGAAACTAATGATACTGACCCTTTGGCATTTGTATTCACTTCTCCTTTAATGACGACAGTTCGCCCAGGGCCCATTGAGGAGTTCAATCTCCTAACAAATGGCAGAGTCTGAAAAGAAACCACAGTCAGCACAGGGAAGCCTGCAGAAAGAGATCTCATGAAGGAGCTGCCCAAAGACACTGGCGAAGGCTTAAAGCCCATGACTCTGTAAACCCCATGAAGGCCCAAACTACATCTGCCTTGGTCTCAGGTGGGCCTCCACTGCACGGGGCTCCCAGAAGACACTTCAGGAGGGCGTTTAGATGACGACATGAGTGGACATGGAGTGGAACCCAGTATCCTCTGTATGAGTGAAATGCATTCTGAGAAAGCCACTGTGCTTGGGGTGTGAAGTATGCTCCGTATACTGCCTAGAGGGGAAGCAGCCTGGACAGGAGGGGGTAAGGAAACATTTCAGGCTCAGCCCTTATGCCTGGATGACTGGTATCTGTCCAGGGACAGCATATAAATACAAAGTGGCTGTTCTGGGCTTCTACTGAGGGTAGAGGTTACACATGCCAGCTAATTAAAACTTAACTCGTTATATAGAATTAAGAAAACTTTTAGCTCTTCAAATCTCTGACAAATAAATGGTAGGCAGTATTTTGGCACAAGGCAAAGTGTGATTGGCAGTCGAATCTTTGCTCTTGGTATAGACAGCGCTGGGGACAATTTGAGGCATGTCTCCTCTATTACTAGGCTATAGGGAAACAGTTCTACAATAAGGCAGGGAATGAAGGAAGCTGTCTTCCAAAGGTTAAACTACTCACTTTCCTCAGCAGTTTTATAAAATGTCCCACATTATAACCAAGGCAAAAATACTTACCAACTGTGACATGCCAGACTTCTGTACCTATTGAAAGAGAAAGACACAATGAGGATGCCTGAAAGCAAAGACGGCATCATGCTTGTCAGCAGCTGGCTCTCACTGGCTGTATGGCTGGACCTGGGGGCAGTGGTGTTAGCACCGCCCTGGGCTGCCCACAGGCTATGGGCTTTCTGGAGTGGATGGAGCTGAGAAGGGCCACTTGGGCTGGGGACACAGTCCAATAGTCCTGCTCATCTGAACTCTATCTTCCACTATTAGTTAATTTTTGACAAGATCACACATAAGCTTCAAACATGATTGACTCGGTCTGTCCAGGGTGCCCCCAGAATGCTGAGAATACATGCCACCTATGAGGTACTGAGATGCCTCAGATCTCAGTGTACTGAGATCAGTCAGCCCTCACTTCCCCCACCAACACCTATAAAACCTGTGCTTAAACTGCACTTGTTCCCACAGGGGAGAGAGCAGGTGAGGAAGTTCATTTGCCAGTGCAATGATGGTGTTCAGTCCTTCCAAACACCTCAGCACAGCACTATTCAGAGTTAAGAGCAAGAGGGTCCTTTTTACTAAGAATGGTGGGTGGTGGTCAGATAGATACACTGATGGTTTAAGCATTGCACAGTTACAATGTCTGGCACCACACAAGTAAATGCCTCATTTTCAAATGATTACTTCCAGCCTGTTAATATTAAAAGCTTAATTTAAAAAACTCAGCCTGCCTGCCACCTGATTTACATGGCAGCTAAAAGAACACTTAAACTGGTAATTAAAAGATTTAATACTTAGTTTCTCCACTTAACTCTGTCAGTTCCAGAGTAGATGCTTGGGTACTTCTTACATCCTGAAGAATAAAATATTAATATCCATCAGAATTCCAAATATAAGCAGCTTACCCATCAAAAAGAGCTATAAATGATACTAAATGAAAATACGCTGGACCATTATACTCCCAAAATGCACTTAATGTTAGTGTCCTTTCCCCTATCAAACTGGCAAACAAAGAGAATGACTACATCAGAGTGACTTCAGGGCTAATGTCATAAAGGAGGTGAGCAAACAGCTGAGAGCACAGTTGCTGACTGTCAACTGTTTAATCTTTGGCAGGCAATTGTAGAGTCAGTCATAACTTAAAAGCCAACACCCTCTGACTCAGACACTCCACTTCTAAGAGACTATCTTAGAGAAATGCTCCACTGTACTCCTATGTCAAGGAAATACCCCTTATGTATCCAAAAAGGCGTTTGTTTGTTATTGTTTGGGTTTTTTTTGTTAAAAATAAAGTCCTGGTCAATAAACAGCATCCCAATAGTCTGAAAGATTAATTTCCTAGAAATTAATACACTAATGAGAAAGTTACATTATTTTTATCTTAATAGAAGATACTAATGAGAGCTATTTCATCATCACCATTTCATCAGAAAACATCATCAAAGATGACCCAAAGTCATGGATGGGCACTCACCGAGCTGAAGCTAAAACCAACTGAGTGAATGTTCACTTTGCCATAAATGCCCAGCGTGTCTATCTTCTCTGGGCTAATCCTGTGGCCATAGAGCAGTGTATGTTTTCCATTTACAGCCACCTGGACAGACAGAAGACACAACCATACAGCAACAAGTTTAAAAAGAATGATAACACAAGCACTCAAGGACCAGAGAAGGGAGGGATGAACAGGGTTTAGGAGATTTAGGGAAGATATTCTGGTGGCAGTGGTGTCTGCAGGACAGAGTCTGCGCCTGAGATGGGAGAGCCAGTCTGCTCTGAGGCTCTCCAGGCTGGAGGGAGGGCAGGCGCACATGCCTCCAGGGCCAGACCCTGCCTCACCAATGGGCACTAGCGTCAAAATGCTCCACTAAAGCCATGGGTACTGCTTACTACCCCTAGGATTTCTAAGATCACCTCTGGGTCTAAACTCTTGATCCTAAAGAATATTTGTGACAGGACCAGATTTTAAAAAATGCTTCTGAGCTCTACCTTCTACCATAGGTTTCCCCATCTCTGTTAGTTCCAGGTTCCCCCACAAATGGGTCATGGTGGTTATAATTTACTATCCCATAATTGATCTAACACTGTGCCAGTTCAGAACTAAGCTCAGCCCATATTTGTGGGAGAAATAGGATCTAATAATATGATCTGGCTGCCCTGGACCTGCATTCTGGCACAGCAACATTGGCGGGAGACAGTAGCTGTGCCCCATCTCACATTTAGCTACCTGCCTGGCCCCTACTTTAGAGAAAAATTATAAAGCCACTCTCTCTGTATTGCATAAGTTCACTAACATGGAAAGCTTCCCCATGTGCTTACTCTCATTAATGAGGATTCAACATTCATTCTCCAAAACCTACCTGGAATTTGTCTTTAAGCACCATAATCACAATTTCAAAAGATTTTTCCTTTTTGAAAGGCATGTCATAGGTGATCTCTTCCCATCCCCATTTTTCACTTTTCAAAGTATTACAAACAATGCAGTTGCCCCTTTTGAAACGTGGATTGAAATGAAAGGCCACATCAGCTCGAGGTTTCACACTGCTGCCACGCTGTAGGTCCACCTGGAATCTACACGAGGAAGGAAACATGGCCACATGAGTACTTGGAAGGCTGCCAGCCAAGGCCCAGCAAGTCCGAAGTTCAATCCTCCATTCAGTCAGCTGCGTGGCCTAAACACCTGGTCGCTTCATCTTCCTTTCCTTCTTCCTTAGCGACAGCCCCTGAGCTGCTGCTGGGGCCCCATCTGTCTAGGACAAGCACCCACATTTTCCAGCCTGCCTGGCAGGTAGGCCTGCACATGGGCTGACAGCTCTGCCCTTGAGGAGGAAGTGCGGCGCTCAGGGAAAACCACTGGAAACAGCCTTAAAAGTCACTGGCCTCTGCTTTTCACCTGCAATCAACACCCCCACTCCCCTGCCAAGACCACATGCACCCAACCCAGCTACCTAAGACACACATGTGAGGGCTGGAGTTCTAGCTTCCATGGAGGAGAAAGAGGGCCCCACACTAGGGACAGCAAAGTGGTGAGCGAAGAGGCCTATCTCTCTAATATTAGACCCTATGGAGTTGCCTTGCAATATCTGGCTGTCTCCTTTAGACTTAACTTTCACATCTTATTGAAACCACTGGAATTTGGATGCCAGCCACACAGAGTTGAGCCCACCAGTAACTGACAGCCTTGTCCAAAGCAAGCGCTGGATACCACTACCTCAAACAGATCTTAAGACATGCTGTGGATGCTGCACTATAACCAAACTGTCCCTGTCATCTGGCCACAACTCCTTCATTAACTTCATATTCTTTACACTGAAATCAGACTTGTAGTAATAAAAAAAAAATCCAAATAGCCTTTCTTGACTTGGTCACCTTGGCCAGGGCTACTGATGGAAGCAGAGTCAGGCCTCACAGAGTCACAGTGGCTCTCCCTGTTATGTCTGCTGTTGTTCCACAATCACAAAGACAGTTTATTCATGTTTTTTCATCTAACACAATACTTTTACCTGTCCGAATCGTTAGGAACATTCCCACATATTACGATCAAAGTTCCAGGCTCTAACTGCTCTGGAATGGTCCCAACGTAGGGGATTACCTAGAAAAAATGATTTTAATAAGTGCATGTTCACATAAACAAAACTGAAAGACTACATTCTTAAAGGCTGCATATAAAGTTGCACAGACCCCAGTTTTCCAAGTTATCCTCACTATTCAAACAGCTATAAGGGAACAACAAGGCTAGGATATTCAGTGTCTGCAAACCACTCTGAGTTCTGTGGAAAACAGGCACAAGATAAATACTACCCACAGCACTTTTTATTTGGCTGGTGCTTCTGTGAAATAGAAAGAGCAACTTGTTGCAATGGCATACCCCACCCTTTGTGAATGTTCCACTGATGTCCCAACGGCAGCAAGACCACAGAAGGCCCTCAGCCAAGGCTGACAGAGATGCTGGCACTCACTGCCTGTGGAGGCAGCTCAGGTTTCAGTCACTCCTCCACACCTGGGATGGGATCTGAGGCTGAATCTCCACTCAGCTTCCAGACTGCAACCCATGCCACACTGCTGGAAACCAGAGAGCTGTGTGGCCTTAAGATAAGCTCCAAAGGCCTGTGGCACACCCTCCTGGCTGGCCCAGTCTGCAGACATGGGCTCTGACAGGCAGTTCTGCACTGTTCCATCTCAAGCTGCCCCTTCATCACCTGGAACCCAGCCTTTCTGTCTGGGGCCTGACACACATCAGGCCTTGTCATTTTCTTGCCCAGAGATCACTCCACTGCCCTGCCTGCCCACTGTGGCTGCATCTCCTGCACCACAACCATCTCCTCCCTGACTTCGGAACACCAGACCAAGCTCACCAGGCCAGACACCATCATGCTTTATGCCAGGCTCATCCAACTTATGATATATATGTTAAAATCTATCCACAGTAGCTCTGATTATGCAGAAATAAATAAATAAAAGAAGAGGCCATATTAAAGTAGCTGTAAATTGGTGGCTTATAAGCTGAAAAAATCTCATCTTAAGCACTGTCTCCTCTGTGGAGCCTTTTCACACCCCCTAGGCCAACTGAGCCCCTCTCTGAGGGCCTTCATGGCATTTTATACTCTGTTCACTTGGACACTTCTCTGCCTAAATTGTGAGCTGCATGGGGCAGGCTTGGGTCATCACATTTACATCCCTAGGATAGAGGTCCAAAGATGATCAATGATTACATGGAGAAAAAATGATATCCCCCAGCTCAGAAAAGGGGCTCTGGCAGGCCTCACACACGCAGAAGAGTAGCAACTATGCAGCTGCTTGCTGAAGACCCAGTTCTGTCACCACTGTTGCCTTAAGCAGTAAGTAACTACCAAACCCAGTAATCATCTGGTGTCTTGGCAACTGCTGAGTGCAGTGTGGGTGGGATGAACAAAGCCCATCAGACCAGAAAACGAAAACACAATACATATACAGAGTGTGGCTACAGCTACACATCAGAATGGTAGGTTTCTGGTGTGTAAAGAATGTGGAAGGAATTACGCCTCTATACTGATCTTTTGGGCCTCAGCTGATCCCAAGAATTGAGAGCAGCAGCTTCCATACTGTAAATCTCTTAATAACATGAGAGTAATTTTTTTAACTTCAAATTTTATATATGTTCAAATTATACAGAATATTTAATAATAAAAATATTAGGATACAAATATCAATAAGAAAAGAGCCTAGAAAACTATATACAGTAAGACCTTAATTATTAATAAACATTTAGAAGAAAAAGAAACACTCTAAGGAAATAAATCAAAAGTGTTACAATTGTTTTGAGGCACAGGATTTAAATTTTCTCCATATATTTGTGCTAAACACCAGCTTTCCTTTTGAGAGTCTGAAATTTTAGTAGGTACTGGACAGAAGCTTACCTCTGCGACCAGCCTCCAGTAAAAACCCTGGGCAGGGAGTCTCTAATGAGCTTCCCTGGTAGACAGCATGTCACACATGTTGTCACAGCTGGTTGCTGGGAGACTTGAGCATATCCTGTGCGACTCCACTGGGAGAGTATCCTTCCCCTGGACTTGGCCCTGTGGGCCTTTTCCCTTTGTAACTTTGCTCTGTATCCTTTCACTGTAATAAATCCCAGCCAAAAAATAGGACCTATGCCGGTGAATCATCAAAACTAGGGGTGTGGTAGAGACCTCAATGCAGGGGGTGAGAAGAGAAAGAAAAGAGAAGCATCAGAGAAGGGCGGGCATATCAAGGAAGTCACTTTCAATTTGAGGACTGTCAATATCTTTAACATGGAAAATAAGGAAGATTCAAAACAAAAAAGATAATGAAATGAAAATCATACCCTTTGACCCAGTGATTCCTCTTTTACAGATTTATCCTACAGACACTGGCACACCTGCACATGTGCCCAGAGATGCTTGTACAAGGATGTACACCGTAACACTGGGTACATCACCAAAGGAGCAGCCCTCTAACAGGAACTGGCTCAGTAAGTTAGAGAACACCTACACAGTGGACTACTTATGCAGCCATTAAAGTAAGTGAGGCATTCTAAATGTGCTGTTTTATCTCCAAAATTTGTTAAATGGGGAAAAAAAAGGAGGGTAGAGAACCATTAATATAGTATGATAAATGCACATAAAGAAACATGATATAAAAAAGTTGATATACACTACCCACACACTCTTGGATATTCACATATATTCTAAGGGAGAATACACAGTAAACAGGTAGAAAATAATTGCCTTTAGGAAGGGGAACTGAGCACCAAGACAGAAGGAAAATTTGTTTTAATGGAACCCTTAAATACTGTTGGAATTTAAAAAGTGATTTACACACATTATTTCTATTATTTAAAAAATAATAATGAAAAAGGCAAAGCCACTGGGTTTGACATGAATGAATTTTAAATTTTGAAGACAGTTTATTCTCAAACTACTAGGGGCTTGAGAGACCACGAGGGAGAAATTAAACAGCAGAAAGACACTGACAAAACAGGAAACCACAAAAGGGAGGCTGGGTGTGGGGAAGGAGATGTGAGCTTAGTTTTGAATCCATAGTCCTGAAGGGCTGGCAGGGAATCTGAGAGATGGAGATTATCTTAGGTGACTGTATGCAGATTGCATACACATTCAAAAGGTCTACATGTCATCAGTTAATAGATGAAAGAAAGAAAGAACTTAAAAGACTACACAGAGAGCAGAGCTGCACTGAAGAAATCAAGGCAGTGGACACGGACCCACCCTCCCCTTTCAGGAGGCTCTGCAGAAGAGCATCAAGGGAACGAAGGCTGGACGGGACCCTGGAGGCTGAAAAAGAAAGACTGTATTTTTCTGTGACTGAAGATTAAATTGTAAGGTGGAAAGGGAGGTACAAAGAATACTATGGGGAAGAGGGTAAATGTGGAATGGAGGATCCCAAGGAAATGGGAATGATGAGCTTTTTTAGGACTGGGTAGAATTAATGTTAACAAGTGGTTTGTTAACTTGGACTCACAATCAATATGTTTCACTTCTAAATTACTTCTTAACCAGCTACCACTTAATCATACCTTAAGAACTCTATGAACAACAATAAAAAAACATTTAGGTACATGCTATGAGTTGCCAAACAATAGATTTCACTGAGGCTATTTCTGGTATATGGTGAAAAAACTGTCATCTGAAGTTTTCATTCAATTTCAATAGAAAGAAAAGTGAGCCTGACTTTTTTTTAGTCTTGCAATTCCACTGGTTGAACTAGTCAATGAAATATATTAAAAATGAAAAAAGCACAGGCCAGTTATACAATATACTTTATCTTTTCCAAGAAGAGTCAATATAGAATGTGTCTGCCACCAATGTAGACCAAAACTTTAGAAACCTTCAGAGATCAAAGAGAACATGTGGCAGTTCTGTGTCTTCATTATGTTCAATAGAGAATATAGTAGAAACTTGGTAACACTTCCATATTGTTTGAATTGATCACTCACAAGATAATCATAATGCAAGAAAACAAGTTTGTGTAAATCTAGCTTGTACACCACACGAACTGATTAATTTAAAATATCTAACTTGCTCATATACATGCTGCCTACAAGAGACTCACTTTAAACCCAAAGACATACACACAGACTAAAAGTGAAGGAATGGAAAAAGATATTTTATGCAAACCATAGGGAGAAAAAAGCAGGAGTTGCAGTACTTGTATCAGACAAAATAGACTTCAAAACAAAGAAAGTAACAAGAAACAAAGAAGGACATTACATAATGATAAAGGGGTCAGTTCAACAAGAGGATCCCAACACAGAGCACCTACATGTGAAACAAATACTAACATAATTAATGGAGGGAAATAGAAAGCAATGCATTCATTCTAGGAGACTTCAATACACCAAGGACAGATCAACCAGACAGAAAATAAGTAAGGACACAGAGGCACTGAAAAACATACTAGAACAGATGGACCTACCAGACATCTACAGAACTCTACACCCAAAAGCAGCAGGATACACATTCTTCTCAAATGCACATGGAACATTTTCCAGAAGAGACCACATACTAGGCCACAAAAAGAGCCTCAGTAAATTAAAAAAGATTGAAATTGTACCAACCAACTTCTCAGATCACACAGGCATAAAACCAGAAGTAAATTATACAAACAAAACAAAAATCCTCACAAATACATGGAGGCTTAAAAACATGCTCCTAAATAATCAATGGATCAACTGCCAAATTAAAACAGAGATCAAGCAATATATGGCAACAAATGAGAACAACAGCAAAATGCCCCAACTTCTGTGGGATGCAGCAAAGGCAGTTCTAAGACAAAAGTATATAGCAATCCAGGCCTATTTAAAGAAGGAAGAACAATCCAAAATAAATAGTCTAAATTCACAATTATCAAAACTGGAAAAAGAAGAACAAATGAGGCCCAACATCAGCAAAAGGAGGGACATAATAAACATTACAGCATAAATAAATAAAATCGAGAAGATTAAAATAGAAAAAATAATTGAAATCAAGAGCTGGTTCTTTGAGAAAATAAACAAAATAGATAAACCCCTAGCCAGAATTATTAAGACAAAAAGAGAATCTACACACATTAACAGAGTCAGAAATGAGAAAGGAA